AAAAGATTTAAATAAGAAAGCCAAACTAAACCAAAAAACCCCCCTGCAAAGCAGTACTGCCCCCCCCCCCGCAAAAAAACCCTAACAAATTAAAGCCACACGGACAAAAAATAACCCCACAAAAAAACCCAGAGAGCCTTCCAAGAAACTCCAGAAGAAAACGCCTCACAAGAAACTCCACAAGAACCACAGCGCCTCACAAACAAACACTGTAGAACTGCAGCACGAACGAGCAGCAAATTACAACCACCACCTCAACCCCTCTCCCTTAGGCATTTCTATTAAAAAGACACATAAAAAAAACCCCAAATAGTTAAAAGTAAACCGAGCCCTTACCTGCGTGGATCCCAGGAGCAGCACCACAGTCCGACTAAGGGGAGCACCTTCTGCTCGCCTGCTTTTAGTACCTTCAAGCACAGGTGCAGCTCCTCAGCCTGACGAGCCCCAGCCTAATTAGCCCTTACCTGTGCGTGTCCCACGAGCAGCCCCACCGAGGCAGCTCCTGCTTCTGGAACCTTCCGCCACAGGTGCAGCTCCTCAGCGTGGTGATGCCCAATTAGCACCAGCTGGTGCAATTAAGCACACGGCTTTCCCCCCCCCCCCCTTTGATTTTGGTGCTGTCAGGAAGCACCGTCCCTTTAATACATCCAAGCCCATCGATGTCTGTTTTTATTTATGCTCCGGAGTAAATATTTGCAGGATCGCGTCTCTTTCCCTTTCCCCGAGGTTTAGCTACTCCAATACTCCACAAACATCAGGACACCCGGCACTATTTACTAAACTAACTCCATCTGAGCACGTGTTTAATGTCTGTGAACAGACAGTGCTTTGCAACCTGCCTTTCTTTTTCCATTCTTTTATTTTGCTTTTCCACACTTTCTCTGCAACCCAGTTGGGACATGAATTTAAAACTTCAGTTCTTCCCCTCCACTGCAGGTTGCAATCAGCACTTTGGAAAGTCCTTTGGAAACTTCCTGGTGGAAGCAGTAAATCTTCACATGCATCTTCTGTGTAAATTGGGCCGATTCATCACAGTTCCCTTATTTTAGAGTCTCATGTGTAATTGCAGGGATCTGCTGATTTCCAAGAGTTCAGAGTGCTCCTTGGAATAAATGTAGCCAAACCCCAGACACAGACTCTCCACTTCACTTTATTCTATCATGTCTCCATGACATAAATAAGCAAGGATGGGCATTAATGTTACACACCAGATTTTTATTATGGAGAACTTTTGTTACTTTTTACAAAAGCCCCACTAGGTCCCCAGGTGCCAGGAGAACTTTGCCTGGAGCTGGAACTGCACCTTTAATCTCTGCCTGCAAAATGCCTTCACTTTCCAAAATCACCATTTCCCTTGTGTTAATAGTGGGCTTAAAATCAACAGATTGGCAGTGTGGAAGACGTGTATTTGTTATCCTACAGCATGTTATCATATATTGCAATTCTATTCCTAATTATACAATCACTTCAAGCTTTTATTTTCCAGAACCCAATTCAGTGAATAGGACAGACACAGAGGGGGACAGAATTAAGATTACACAGGCCTTAATTCTATTAGTTTGTAACTACTCAGTGCTTCATTTTGCAACCCAAATAACACTGTAGCACAGTAATTTTTATATGCAACCTAGACACACGTAGTCATTTATGCACTAACTGTAATTACTCTTTCCTACATTAGTCTACATCTATTATGCAGCAGGTTCATTATGTTTTATATTTCATCATTTCAATTCAGGGAGAAGACATTTTCTAGCACCATTTTCCCTCTGATATGGCAGACAGAGTTCACTGGAATAGAAGTGTTCTAAGTGAATGCTTCACTATGCTGATTTTTCAAGTCATTCTAGGTTCTGAACAAATTACTTCTAATCCTTTATAGTAGCAGAAGGTGAAATTAAAAACAAGCTCGAATCAAATTAAAGTTCAAAGAAACCTTGAAAATGGGGAAATTAAACCAATGTAATTTATGAAGTTATGGAACTAGAATGAGCACCAGCAAAGGGGTGAAGGCAAACACTGTGTTGTCCAAAGCAAGGCATCTGCCTAAATCATCCATGGAAGAGAAGCTGAAAATATCCTTAAATCCTGACAACTCTTAGTAGAAGACAAAGAACATCCTGCAGTAGGAAAAAATCTCAGCAGTGGGTTAGAAAAGGCAGGAACAAAGCACAGCAGCAGCATATGAATAGTCAGTGGTATGAATTGCCCAGAAGGTAACCTCTAATATCAGTGGGACACAAGTTTTAAGTGGAAAAAAAAGTATAAAACAGAGTATAAAAGAGGCAAAATCCAGTAGTTAGGGGGAAACTTCTTGAGGAAAGTAAGTAAGAAAAAGGAAACTGGTTGCTGCAGTCTCCCACACACAGTTGCTCCCTAGGAGCAGACCTCATATCGACCAACCCAAACTGAGTGGCTGGAAAACTATAGGATTTGAGATGAAGTAGACGGATTCACAACACAGAACTTCTCTGCCACAGAAACATCCCTGGAGAAGCAGGAGGCCAGGAGCTCTGTTCTGCATCTTCCCACATCCACCCCAGCACTCCTCATCTGGGCACCGTGGTGTTCTCTCTCCACTGGTGCTTCTTAGTCCAAGCCATGAGTTTGGAATCCCAGAAACCTTCCCGTCCTTGGGGATTTCCAAATACGTCCAACCACATTTCAAGGTTTAAAAATAATAATAATAAAAAAAAAAATAAAAAAAATAAAAAAGCTTGAATGGGAAAAGGAGGACATCCACTTCCAGGCATTATTTCAGACAGGTATCTTAGCAAAAGAAAATGAGATGGGATAAAGGGATTTCAGGGGGATCAATAATGCCGTGACAGCAGGAAAATTACCGTGTGACCACAGTACGTTGCTCGGTGATAAGGAACTTTACCTGAGGTCAGTAAAAGACACTCCTGCACACTTTCTCTCCGTATCAGATAATGGATTAGGAACATTAATTTATTCCTGCATGCTCAGAGGTGCAGTGGGATAGCAGTTCCTGAGTGCCATGATGCTCCATCAGAGAACAACTGACTATTTAGTTTGCAAAGTTCATCACAGTGGCTGTATTTTTTAATGTGAGAAGTGTTTAGATTTCCTTTCGACAAGTGCAGCATTGACAACTGGGAGGAAAAAAACGTGGAAATAACTCACATGACTACTAACAAAAGAAACAACTTCCATCCTATTCCAAACACAATGGTCTCCACGGTGTAATTTACAACAGTTTGGCTTTTTGTTCGGTATATTTTTAATCTTTACATAACAAATGTCACTGGTATCTTGACTGCAGGACCTTCAGCACAACTTAAATGGAATAATAACCCAGGTGTTTAAGGGAAAATACAGTTCTGGCTGGAACAGGTTCACAGATGCAAATAAGAGCCTTGGTTCTGCAAGCGCCCCCCCAAATATATATTTAACACGAGGACAATTTCAGAGATCTCTTAAACGAAAGACAGGATAAAAACATATATAAAAAAAATACAACTTTGGTTTGAGCACCTTCCTCAATGAGTTTCGTGCTCAAGCTGCAAGACACGACTAAGCTGAAGGGTCTCCCAGAGGTTCCAGTGTAGCAGGAATTCAGCACATTGCTGACTTCATCATCAGGTTTCATTCAGCGTCATCACAAAAGTGTGTTGTGATAATAAAAGTCACTACAAATGGTTACAGGCAAATGTGCTCTCTTCCCTTTTGGTTTTTACTCTTCTTCCCTCCTAAGGGTGCAAGAAATGCTTGGTAAATTGGGAGACTGCTAGTGATTTACGGGAAAACAGATTGACTTCAGCCACTGTTGCTTTCTTTACCTTGGTCTGGAGGGGCTTTTTGGGAATTTATTCACGGAGTTTTTTACTCCTGTGAAGGTCACCAATAACCTGGGTATGATGTCTTCTTGAAGGGCAGCAAAAATTCAAATAAATAAATCCAAATAAATACCCCACTCTACCCCAGCCATAGTTCAGAAACATGCCCGATGAGTCATTCCTTTCTAAATGCAATTAAAAATAATTCTAAATATAGAGCGGACAAAATGCAGAGGAAGACAGTAAAACAGCTGTAGTAGTCAATTTTTTAATGAGTGATTTCTGCCTACTAATTCAGGATATTACATTGTCATGTCTCTTCCTCATGTAAAATGAATAACCCCGGGAGAAGTCGATTCAGAACGCTCCAGAGAGCGCAGCGGTCCCCATTTGCTGCTGGATGTGCAGCCAGCCAAAAACCGGTGACCTCGTGTTTCCCAGATCCTGAGGAGTGACCCAAAGGTCTCAAACAAGGAGGATGGTGGCAGGGAGCTGCCAGTGCTCGGAAGGATACTGCACATGGAATAAGTTATGGGCAAAGAGAAGGCAGCTTTGATGAGGATTCTCAGTGCTTGGGGTCTTCATCCCCAACCCTTTCCTCCGCTACCTGGAACTTCTTTTCCATACCCAGCACTCTTCACCTACGCTGCTGATACTGCTGATCACACCTACTGAAGGTTGCAATAAACTGGAGAGATTTTTTTTTCTTCTGGCTTCCAGCAGGGAAGGGAACAGGAAGTGCCAAAATACGTGGGGGTGAGGGGGCAGCTGTTCTTGTGCCATTTCCAGCCGGGGTCAGAAGCAAACCCACACAAAAGGCCTTTTTGCTGAAGCTGCCCAGCCCAAACTTCCTGCATGTAAGGGCACTGACAAGTTTAAACATTCCCCCAAACTCTCAGATGTCTGTCCCAACTCCAGGCCTGTGGGATTTCCTCATCAACGATACCACCAGTGAAAATAGAAGAGGGGGGGAAAAGAGCAGGATGGGATTTATATTTGGATTTATGTTTGAGTACATACACCCCATGCTAATCTGATTACTCACCGGGAATCCTTCTTTACAACAGCTTTTCCTCGATTAATCTTTTTTTCTTTATTAATAATCACCATAACATTACAGCCTTAGCAGAAGAGAGCAAGCTGAACACACCAGCACCACATCCCTCCCTTTCTGCCTCTCCCCCATTTTCAGGAGGCACGAAGCGCTCGTGGAACGAGCCCCACGGACACCCAGCAGCTCGGCCTTCCCAGGTCGAGAACACCCAACAACTCCCGCGCCCAACTTCACCATTCCAAATGTAAATTAATGCAGCAGCCGCCGCAAAAGCCGGAGCTCTCTCCTTTACTCGGGGAAGCGAGACGCGAGCGGAAAAGCGCGTTGCATGCAGCAAGAGCCTCCTGGAAATTGCTGCATTACGTTAATTAAGATTTTATTCATGCCTTTGGCCCCGCTGTGCCACCGCGGTGATGCAGCACGACACGACACGGCGCTGCACCACTGGGAACTCGCACACGCGTGTGCACACCACGCTCCCCCCCGCGTGTGGCTGCGCGGGCACACCTGCACAGGTGCCGCCTGGGGCGATTTTGGGGTGGAGATGGGGTTTGGGGTTATTTTACCGACTTTTATTATTATTATTGAATAGAATAGAAACCATCGGTCCATCGCTCCATCATCCACCTGCCCCCCGACGCGCTTGGGGGCCGCTGGCATCCCTGGATCCCGCCCCTCCCCGCGGGCTCCGTGCCCCCCCCCCCTCCCGCTCTCTCTCTCTCCAGGGGTGTGGATCCCGCGGGCCGCCCCCCAGCCCCGCAGCGGGGAATCCCCCCCGGCCCCGCCGCCCGCGGAGGGGAGCACCCACCTGGCGAAGGCGCGGCGGGCCGGCGGGGGGCGAGGGGCCGCCTCCCGGCGCGGGGGGCGCGGGCGAAGCCATCTTCGGCTCCTTCCCGCCGCCGCCCGCCTCCTCTCAGCCCCCCGCGGCCGCCACCATGCCGGGGACCCGCGGGTGACCTTCCCGGGGGCGGCCGCCGCCGCTGGTGCTGCAGCGCGGGTGGGTGGGTGGGTGGGTGTGTGTGCGGTGGGTGGGTGGGTGGGTGCGGGAGGCAGCGGCCGCGCTGCCGATGAGCTCACACGGACAGATCGGCGGCTGCCGGCGGGCGGCGCGGGCGGAGGACCCGCCTCGTCCTCCCCCGCACACGCACACAACACACACGCACACACACACACGCCCGGTACATCCCACCCGTGCTCGCACACCCCCTTCTTCCTCCACGCCTGGCCGCGACCCCTCCACACGCACACACCCCACGCGTGCCCCCAGCCGGAGCATCCCCTGCTGCTGCTGAACCCGGGGGGGGGGTTTGTTTTCACACCTTCCCCTGCGGATCCGAGTGTGAAAATACGGGGGTAAACCCGCGGCTTAGGGATGGAGAGAAACAAGGGATATTTCCAGGTGCGATTATCCTCATATCCCACCCTGTGCTCACACCCACGCGCAGGGTTTTCAATGCCTGGAGCGCCTTCTGGCCACCACCTGGGTGGAACACGGTTCTTCCCTGCTGCCTACATTCAGATATTTTAGGGCCACGGGGAACCCTATACTCAGAGAGCCTGATCTCCTGTGTAAGAGAGGAATTTCTGGGAATACAGTTTCCCTCGGAAACAAAGCCCAAACAGCTGGTGGAGCTACAATAACCACAGCAGAAAGGTGCTTTGAAAGCGCTGAGTTAAAATGAATCCATTCCATTCCCAGGCAAGGGGTTCCCATGGTTAATGACGTTAATTTAGCTCAATTTTAGCCACAGTAGCTCATTACACCACTCCCTGCCTTCCTGCCCCAGGAAACCTTCACTCACTCATGTTTTAAGTGCAGCATCACCTCACAAATCCTCACCAAAATCCCTGTCTCCTTACGCGGCAATCTGCTATTAAAACAAATGACCCCCTTATTCAGCAGAGAAAGAGTTTGCTGCTTCACTCAAGTTCCCTTCCAAAAATAGTTCTGTTCTTTAACACGAGGTGTAGCAAAGCTGTTAATCGACGTTATCCCTCTGCAAAATTCCGACTGATGCCCTGCCCTGGACTCGAGAGCCTGTCCCACAGTCCGGGTCATTCCCATCAGCCCTTCCCGCATCCAAGTGCCGTGAGCTAAAAGCAGCCTCGGGAAGCACAGGCTGCAAAGTCACCACGGTTCCTAGTGCATTAGGGAGAGGCTAAATTTAGCCTTACCTGCTAATTAATTTAGAAACTACTTAGTTGCGTTTGCGCCGGGATTTAGCCAATACCTTTAGCCCCACCTCCAGCTCCGTGTCCCTGCATCCCTCCCTCCCTCCCCTGCTGACGCTTTTGGCAGCTTTTCGGAACACCTGGCATGTCTTTTGCTGAACAAGAGCCACCGGCTGTTTGATGGGAAAGCACCGTTATTCCTCACTTGTGGAATACTACAGGTGTAGAGGATGTTTTTCCAAACCCGTACAAGAGAGAGCTTTCATCCTGCTCACCTCTGTTTGTTCCATTGCCACTCTCCGTGTCCTGGTACTTCCAAAAGGAACATCTGTCCAGGTCACCTCTGTCACACAAGGACAGGTCCTTTCCTTGGATCCCACCACCGTGCCTTCTGCGCAACCAGTAGGTTTATTCCTGGGAAGTACCTGCACAGTTCCAACCTGCTGCAGGCTGGCAACACAGCTCAGGAACTCCAGGGCCACAGATAAACTGGATGGGTCTGGATGAGGAGGAGGGCTGAGAAGGAATAACAACTGATAGCAGGTTGTGGGAAATGGAGATTTAGTCATTGAAAAGGCTGGATCAGACGGAATCAGTGGAAAACTAAGACCCAGGGGAGAGGGAAGCAGTGCTCTGGCCATGAGCAAGTCTTCCATATTTAAAGGTGGTATTGGAGCGGGGCTCCCAGGAAACCTTGGGATGCTGTTCCTGCTCACCTTTAGAATGAGGTTTCCCTCCTGTTTTCTTGCAAATCTACCTCTAAAATAATGAGTTTTTTTCACTCCTTTCTTATCTCCCAAGGCTTTGCCAGGTAAAGGGCTTCCCTCATCTCTTGTGCCCAGGCACAGCCCATTCCAAGAGTGGAGCTGCTGAAGGAAATCAAGGACATAGTAAAATTCCCAGGGGTTCCTAGGAAGCTAAGCTAATACAGAGAAGCTCCAGCTCTGAATGGCCCCAACAGGGGCAGACTATCCCCTCTTCTGTCCCCACTGAGGCTGCTGGAATGCCATATGTCCAAGCCCTGCTCCTTGGCCTCAGCTCCAGCTGGAGCTCTGTGCCAGCAGGAGCTGCGGATGGTGCTGGAAGAGGAGTGCAAAGAGAAGCAGAAGGGAAAAATCTGACTGAAAATGAGATGCAGTGCAGAGTGGCTGCAATTTTCAGGACCGCCTAAGGGACTTGGATGACCAATTCCTACTTAATTGGGCATTATAATTTCCTAGGCATCCTTGAAAACCTCTGCCAAGGCTTACCAAACGCTCGTTTCCATGTCCAGCTTTGGGGAAGCAGCCTGTTCTCTCCCAGCACACAGTACAAGCTTCACCTTAGTGAAGAAAAAGCAGTATTTAGTTTTTGTGATGCAGACATCTCTTTCTTAGCCACCCTTGTGCCCACAGTGATATTCTCTCTATATTTTGATATTAATGTTTTTTCTTATTGATATCTGCAGGTCCTGGGTTAAAGTGCATTCCTGCTGACAGACCTCCAGCCTTATTCCCACCACTTAATGTACTCTCTGCTGTGCCTGGGAGTTACAATTCCCCCCTTGGCACAGCTTTGCCCTTTCGCCTGCTTTTTCACTTGGGCAGTGATTTTACACTCCAGTTCCTTTTGGATGAACAGCCTGTAAGATGCACAGAACCCGTTTTCCCGCTGAAATATTTCTAGTCTCGGGCTCTAAGCCCTCTACTATGATCCTCTGAGCAGGCTCAAGGCTCAGGGTTTCTTGAGGGATATTATTCCTGGGCATAAATAGCAGAGGACAGGTTATTCTGACTTTGTGCCTGACGTGAGGACCACGAGTTCCTCCCTGCTGATGCCATTCAGGAGGTCAGTGCTCCCGGTATCAGAACGATCAGCAGAGAATTAACAGCTGGGTAACAGATAAATGAGTTCATCCTTGCCTGTGTGAGGGGAACGATGCTTTGTTACACCTACAGATCATCTGCACATCGAATTTGCAGAGTGCTGCAGCAAACAGCAGCATGGCTGCTGCTTCTTGCCCTGCCTTTTCATCTTACAGCAACGATCCCCTCGGATAAGAGCCCTCCTCTCATACTGCTAAACACGACCGGCGAAAGGCTGAGCTGGGTTAATGCGTATCGCTCCGTTCCTTTAAAACACACGAAGCCGTAGTTTCCCGAGGTTCCCGAGTGCCAGGCTGCAGGATGCCGGCGGTGGCCGAGGCCCGGCAGCTCTGCAGCACGGGCACGCAGTGCGATGCGCCGCCTCGCCTCGGGAAATCAGCCGGCGTTGGAGAAGAAGTGCTGCCCGCAGACAGGTCTGCACACAAAAGCGGGAGCACCATGGAAACTGCCGGAGAACAAAGGAGACGCACAAAGCTGTGCCGGGACCTGCGAGGAATGTCCGAAATACTTCTCTGTGCCTCCCTCCCGGAGGCACGGCCCCCACTCGACTGTGACTGCCCAGGGATTTCAGCGGGGTCAGGGTTTGGCTGCCTCACCTCCGATACAAAAAATTGGGAATCGTGACAAGCAGATTTTGCAGAGAACTGTGTTTTCCATCTCCAAGGTGATGGTGTAAAGTAGGGCAGCCTGCGGGGAATACACAGAAAAAGCATTTACTCTTCAGCAAGGACTGGAAAAGAGCCTACTAGAAGGGATAAAAAGTAGGAGTTAAAAGACATACTTTGCACTCCAGAGGCTCAGGGGCTGTTTCAGGGAAGTTTCAGTGTCTCTTTATCCACTTTTTTTTCCTCTTCCCTGGGTGCCAACTACTGCTGGAGATGAGTGCCGAGCTCAAGGAAACCTCAGTCCCACTGGGTATATGGCTGCTTTGATTTGTTCTTCCTTTTAACATCTGCTGCTAAAGCAAATTAGATGAAGATTTGGCTGAGACAACTGCACAGTGTGTTAGCAGCACATTCCAGCTCAGAGAGCCCACACTGTACCCTTTTCCTTAGTGGTTGTAGCAGACCCTCCAGCAGGACTCGGACTGTACCAGTGGGAAGCTGACACACCGTGCCCAACACACATCTCCTTTTGTTCAGGAACAGCTCAAACACGTGTGACAGCAGTTTGGGGTCTGGATCTTCTGATGGATAACAACAGTATTTACTCCTCCGTGGTATTTAGTTACATTTGGATGTCCCTGATAAGCACCAGGAAACAAGCTCTAGCAATTCCCACACTGCTTGTAAGGATGTCAGAAAGCCACGGGGTGACATTGCCAGTTCTTTTTCCTCCCCAGTGGCTCCCCAGAGTCTCGGTGACAGATGAATACAAAACAGATGGGATGGTGGCAGAACATCATCAGATGGACGTGATGGGCCTCAAGCTGCCCGTGCTATCGCATAGATTAGTGTCATGTAATGCTGGGCTTTGTATTTTGATATCGAAAGCCACACAGTGGCTTCAATCTTGGGTCTTGTCCTGTCCTAATGTCAGGATCCTCATTTTGATTTTACATAAAAGATAGGTTGGGGAAGCTGTATCTTCCTTTCTGGGTATCAGCTTTCTGTGCTAAGCTTAGAAACAGAAAAAGAGGAAAAGAGGCTTTTCTACTGTGGGAAAAGGCCTTTTGAGTTGCTGCATTTAAAAATCAGACCAAAAAACTCTAATTCGGTCCAAACCAAGTATTTGGTCTCACTAGATTTCTGTCATGTGTGCTTCTCAGATTGCTGTTATCTCCCATGTATTTAACAGCCATACCAATTTGGAAATATCTGTATTTGGCCACGGCAACACATCTGACAGGTCTGTTTAGTCCGAGACATCCCTGCGAGCTCTTCTCCGAGCATCCACAGCAGAGCCATGGCACTGAAAACTAACATCTTTTCCTTCTGACATAATTGCTCCTTGCCTTTTCCACGGCACACACGGGATGTTCCCAAGGGACACTGCAGTCACACTACCCAGTCAGCTTGCTGAGGCCAAGAATATTAGTCACGTTCCCCATGACCCGCAGCCACATGTGCAGCCCCCCCAAAAAAAGGGTCTGTCCTGGCTCTGCACAGAGCCACCATCACACCTGGCTCTGGAAACATCCTGCTGTGCTCTGAGAGGTGAATGCCAAAAAAACTGGGAAGCTCCTCTGCTTGGTCAAAGTGGTGTCATCTGAGGGGTCTGGCAGATCAGTCCCTCTCAGGATGTTCCTGGTCTGGCTTCAGGCATGAGGCAAAGCCCAGGAGAACAGCTCCCCTGTGGTACCCTGTCACTTCTGATCCTCATCACAGCTAAAACCAGACAGTCCTGAGACACGAGGAAAAAAACTGTTTTCAAAATTAACCCCCTGAACCTGGGTCAGGACCTCTCTGGATGAGGCAGCCACGGAGATGTGGAAAGGTGGTGATGGCCCGTGTCAGAACCACCGTGGTGAGACAGGTTGATTAACATCTGCCCACGCAGCAGGACACACTGTCTGCCTTCCAGCAGCCTTCCCTCTGGGAGAGTGGAGAGAAACAACATTTTCTGGGCAAGCCAGCTGTCTTTCCAGCACAGCATGCCAGGAGAACATTACAGAAAACGTTCCCTTTCTCCCAGCCTTGCCCACCACCACTTTCAGCAGGAATACCTCCATTTCCTCCCATAAACTGCCATCTCACATCCCAAGTTCTTGTCTCATATACAGTGTGACCACACAGAGCATTAGCTCTCATAGTCATTCCTCCTCCTTATGGAATCTCCTGCCATCCCTTTCCAACAACAGCTCCTCAGGAAGCTCCCTAAGGAAGGGCTCACTCTTCTGCATGCACCATCCAGCTACCAGTTGCTGTGATGTATTTGAATATTCCTTAAAATTGTTGCTTTTGCACAAAGGATGATTATATATAAGTAATTATATATACAATTTAGGACAAAATTAACGCGGAGTTCCCAACCAGCAAAGCAAGAGAGTAGGAGTTAAGAAGAGTGGGAGACACTATCCTGCTTCCCTAAAGGCAAAATTCCAACCCAGCCCCAAGCAACGTGTCCCCAGCAGTGCCCAAACACTTGGATAATAAATGGAATATAAAGTACAGCACAGGAGCTGTAATCAGGACACCTGAAACGGGGGATGGTGCCAAATTCAGGCTTAAAAGCTGCAAAACAGCTCTGCGTGTGTCTCCCTGCTGGAAGCTGCAGATGACCCACTCTGCCACTGCAGCTGTACCTATATATAGTTATAAGAGAGATTTGGCTATAAAAAATACATCTATAGATACAGTGTAAGCCCAAATAGGCTGCACAGCTGCATGCTTCAACACCCAAATAATTTAAAACATTTTGCCCTGATTCTAATAATATTATTCTGGTTTTTCCACCAGGGTAAGAGCAGGGCAAAGGACCTGGATAAGGAAGGTTTCAGGTATGCTCATGGTCTGGAGGTTCATGAGAGAGTTCACCTTTAATCCCCACAGCCAGTGACAAAGAGAAAAGGAATGGGCATCAAAAGCTCAGGGAAGGACAAGATGAATCAATAATAATAAAATTAATTCCCTCTCGCTTAAGTTTTTCAAGAGACTCACCGTGTTTTTTCCACAGTTCTGCTTCTACACCAAAAATCACTTCTGGTGTAAAGGCAGACCTGAACCAACAGGTCAAGTACACTTTGTGCTCATGGAACAGGTTTCCTAGGCTGAACCTTTTAAGAAGTTACCTACTGAGCACCAGACAAGATGGGCAAGGTCTGAGAGAGCAGCTAGATTCCCAAAACACTCAAACAAAATACACAAAGCACCAGGTAAAACACCCCCCCCCTTTTCATATCAGAACCACCTTTCAATGTATGTGGGAAAGGAAACAAACACCAGCCACGGTGAGGGAAAACCAACCAAAAACAAAGGAGAAAATTGCAAAAAGCAGCAAGGCCAAAAGGTATTCAACTGTGCCTGCTCCATCCATTATTCACAGGGTGGGAGAACTGGACCTTCCCTTTTCCCAAGAGAGATGTATATGCATTTATCTGTGCCATCAGCCAGGGAGCAACCCAGCCAAACCCACTGGATGCCCAAGTGCCCCCAGGTCTGTGTTGTGCCTGCAGCCCAGAACGGCTGGAGCAGCTTTGCCCTCTGCTGGTCCCGAGAGGCCCCTCAGCCCAGCCCGGGCAGGAGTCCCTCTGTCCCCCCTCGGGGCTGCCACCCTCACCCCAGCCCTCCCCAGGATGACATACAGCAAGGGACTCAGGAGTGCCTTAGTCAGGGAACAGCCTTAACTAAAAACCTGGAAAAAGAGTAAAAACAACCCTCTGAATTCGACGGAGCCGCAGCCCAGAGAGGTAGAAGGGGCAGTTAAACGACCTTAATTAAATCACATCACACTGGAAGGCTTTCCCCATCCCACTCACGACTCCTGATTGCATTCCAAGTCCCTTCTTTAGCCCCAGTCACCAGGATTGCACGCTGCAAGGAAGCAGTTGGAAACAGCGGTCCTGGCAGGCAGCTACCGCTGAGGGGTGCACGGGGCCAGGGAAGAGAATCCCCACGGCAGGAATACAGGCAGCCCCTTTGCCCAAGGAGACACCAGTCACAGCCAAGGGGCCAGGGCTGCTCTGTCCCACCCTTGTACCCCTCTCCCAACTTGTTTTCCCGCTCGGATGTTTGTTTGGTTCCACTCAAGACGCCGTAAAAAGGCGATAAAAGCGCAGCCGACGTTTGTCCGGGCACAAAAACCGGTCACCCGGGCAACGGCAAGCAAAGCTCTCCCACATTCTCCCGCTTGTTTTTCCCCTGGTTTTTGCAGGGATTGGTGCGACTTGGGTGACTTGGTGCTGCATGTGCCAGGGAGGGATGAATAGGAGAGCTGGCCTGGCTCTGCTGCCAACCAACAAAAACTTGTGTGCTGCCAAGTCCCCGGAGAGCTGGTGACTCCCTCACAACCATCTGCAGCGACTCGTAGGTAACTGCGTTACCCCCTCGCTCAGGCACATCTCAAAGTCACCCAAGCATACCTGATCGAATTACTTTTCCAGCACTGTGCAGCATTATTCCCATGATTTAATCCTGCCTGGGCTCGTTAGACACCATGGTACCCTTAGGAAAGCAATTATGACACTGACCTACGTTTTCAGGGGCCTGGGCAGGCAAGTGCCTTTGTCATCTGTCAGAGGGTAATTTTCTAATTTGATTTGGAGCTTCTCTAGTAAAAAGATAATTTACTTACCTGCTGGCTTTCAAGGATGCCTTAAAGCCTGTTGAAACTAGTGTACTGACTACATCTTGGGGGAAAATAAACCCCAAAACACCAGCATTGGCTGTGTAAAATAAAACAGGTAGAACAGCCTTGCTCCAGGTGACAGTAAGATGAGGACTTCAACACAAGGTGCAAAATCAAATTTAAAAAGGCTTTTCTACACTGCAGAGACAGGCAGGAGGGGCAAAGCATCATGTTGTGAGCAGGATACTGTGCTACTGAAAACCTGCAGGCCCAAAAATCCTGGGACATCAGGCAGGTGTTCCACTAAAAGCAGTCCTGCTGCTGCCACGAAGAGCCTGCAACTCGTGGGAGAGAAGCAGAAATATGAGTGCTAAAAATAATATCAGATACAGCCCCGTGCTGGGTCACAAAGAGCAAAAAAAAAAAAAAAAAAAAAAATCAATGCTGGGTTCTGCTCCAGGCAGATGGATGTGGAATTATGTTCTCTCAAAACAGTCAGGGGAGGCAGAAAAATCAGCAAAACCAAACGAGTACTCCAAGGTTTGGAATTCCTATAATTTTGCAGTATCATCCTGAATTTTTAAGTAAAGTGTATTTCGGGGTGGGGAAAAAAAAAAAAAAAAGGGAAGAGTCACTGTGGGAAGTTACTAGAGGTGAAATATGAAGTATTTTTAGGGATGCAACTCTTGGGAGGGTAGAACTCCATCATATGCTGGACTCCTCAGCATATGACAGGGAGGGATAACAGCAGCAAAAATTAACTCTCACATGTATTTAAAGATAAAAAAAACCCACACAAACCATTCTAGCATCCTTGAGAATCCAAGGTTTTGATAAAGCATCTAGACCATCCTCTCCATTCCTGACTTCTGAATTAAGAGCAAAAATGCTGTCATTAACTTCTTCAGGAAGTAATAAACACCGACTGTCCTTCCCTGCTGAAGCAGATTGCTGCACTAGTTTGGCAAAGGAGAAAAAGAAAACTCATTTTGAAGTGTAAGGAATTAACCTGCATAGATATGGAAAGGGACAGAAGGGTGACTTCTGTGTGTTAAAGTCAGAAAATATTAATATAAGAGCAATAACTCCCAGACTTAGGCTTTTGCAGTTCAGTTCCACTCTCCACCACACATAAAAAGTCTGAATCATTTATGAGCTGAATTATTTATAACACGGATATATTTTTGACTCAAATGAACTTCAGCAGCGAAATCCCAAACATTTTACCCACAGTAGGCTTTTGGGTTTATTTTTTCCCCTTCACATCGCAGAAATGGAAAACAAACTGTCTTTTAGGCAGGACGCCGAGAAAAAAAAACACGTTAACGGATCAATTTTTTTCATAGGTAGGTATGAAAATGATTTTTTACGTGTCATCAAATATCTTACCCACCTAGGATGGGAGGAGTTCAAGATTAAATGATAATAATAAATAAAAAATGCTGCGATTGGACTAAACACTTGAATACTGCAGGAGTCCACAGGGGAGTGCCTGGCACCAGGGTTAGTTCTTAGCCTTCCCCCACCTTTCCCCTGGGAGGAATCCTCCACGCACCATTTCCAAGAACCATCAGCAAGCTCTTCCCCTGCAGCCCTTCCAGCCCTTTTGTTTGTCCCTTATCTTGCACTTTTCCCCTCTGTTTTCCTGCTATCTCCAGCCTGATCGCTGCTATTCCCTCTCCATTGAGTCGTGCTAATCCTCTCCATTCACTCCCCCCCTGCCAGCAGGGCTGAGTCACTCACCAGTGCAGCCTCGTGTAGAATTACAATTTTACCTTCAGGGATTTTTAAAATATTGCCAGTCTCCCATGAAATACTTGAAAGCCATTAAAATCACCATCTTAAACTGTGAACTACCCGACTTTTAACACTTATCTGCAAGTGAGAACTACTTCTGGAGCTAAGGCAATCACAGGTATCAAACAAAGATATTATTTCTTCCACCGAAGATTCTTCTAAAACAAATAAAAAAAAAAGCTGAATTCAGTTTAGTGTGTATTTATACAAGTAAATTTTCTCCCAGGCTTCTCCAGGACAGATTTCCCTACAGCCTTAGCCAACTGAAAACACAGGGAACATTTTTCTCCTGTACTTTGAAACAGTTTGATGGGCTAAAGAGAGGCCTAGAGAGGTTTATGCAGCATTAACCACTTTTATTATTTATGGTGGCATAAAGCAAATGGAAGAATTAGAGATGCACAGCTGAAATTTTCTCAAGCGTTTTATTTTATAACCTAGTGTATAAAACTTCAACATACAAAAAAAAATTCCAAACAACAAGAAAAAAAAAATAACAGAACAACAACAACAAAAAAAAAAACAACCCCAGAAGTGAACTAAAGCAAAAATCTTGTCATGGACATTTTCCAGAAAGCTTTACCTAGAAAGGCTCAGAAGCAGTGAACATTCAGCCTGTTCAAAAATGGGGGTTCAGACCCATCTTCACACTTGCAGTCTGCAGAGTTCTGCCTCTGGGGGCCCGGGTTTAGTTGCTGGAAGCAGTGGTGGCTGTGGGGGGCTGGTTTTTTTTGGTAGGTTTGTTTGAAATACCTGCAGTTCACACTCCAAGATCATCAGTCCTGGTTAGTTGTCCTCAGTGAAGCGAATGTGTTTGCTTGTCTGCTGAGTCTTCTCCAGTCTCATCCTCTCAGCCTTGGCAATCAACTGCAAACAGGGAAAATATCACAGGAAATTAGAGCAAAGTGGATATTCTTAGGATTTGATCTTCCAGTCATGGATATATTCTTCACTGGTTTACCAAACTTCCTAAGAAAAAGCTCATCCGAGCAGCTGAGCTAAGCTGGATATCTGCCAGATATATAAGATATAAATTCAGTGTTGCCTCAGAATCATGCAAAATAAAAGTGTCTCTTCAGTTGCTGAGCAGTTGCTCTTATTCCATCCCTTCTTCCTCCCAACATGGTCCAAGAGAACAACATACTCCTTTTAAAATCCTAAAATACAGTCTCACACAGTAAGTAAAAAAACTCTGTCCTTTTACTGGATTCATTTTGTTACAGATGTAGGAAAAACAAGGTTAGGCCACAAAAGGAGTGCTTCAGGAATATTGTGGCATTTTAAACAGGAAAAAAACCCCATATCTCCAGCACACCACACAGAAATCCACACACATCACTCAAAAACAACTATAAAAGCACAGAAAAACCACACACACAAATGAAAAACCCACAGAAACCCCCCCACATGAATACCAACACATAAAACCCACTAAAAACCCACAAGCCACAAAACATAGAACGCACTGAAACCACAAACTCACACACAAAACCCACAAAACCCCCTAATCTACACAGAAAAATGCACACACACAAACCACAGAAACCACAAATCAACACAAGAACCCCCACAAAAAGGCACATGGAAAAACCCCACAAACCAGCAGAAAAACATAGCTGAAGGCACATACAAACCCCACACAATCCAACACCACAAATGCACTCAAAGGCACACACAGAACCCACAATCTCCCCCAAAAAACCACCAAACTCTGCAAAAATAACAGGAAAAAAACCCCAAACACCACCAACACTAAACAACCCGAAAATATGGAACTCACAAAAAAAAAAAAAAAAGAATACACAAGAAAAAATTAGCATAAGTCTCCCAACACCACAGAACACCCCAAAAACCTAACAGACAAATATAGTCAAAGGCACATACAAACCCCACACTCAAGAGGCACGTACAGACAACCCCAACCACCACAGGAACCACAAACCAACACAAGAAACCACACAGAAATGCAGGCACACACCACACCAAAAGACACAGAACCACATGAAAAAACAAAACCAAACCAAACAAGACAGCTGTAATACAAAAAACAACCCCCAAAAGAAAACAAACAAACACCAAAACAAAAAAACCCCCACGAACAGAAGAACCCCACAGTTACTTCTGTGCTGGTGACATTTGCTCTGGGGAGGGGGCATTTGCTCACTGGGCAGCCCCACTTTGCTAGATTTGTAAAATCTCACATATAAATCAAATGATTTGTTCCTTCTGCATGCCTGTGGCCTGCAGACCAGCACTCAAGTGCACAGGATGCTGCTGCACTGATTGTGGCAGCCAGGATTTCAGAAGGAAAGGAATAAAACTGACCTAAAGATCTAACCAAGGGTTACTTTTGCTCTCTGATACCTAACACAAAAAAAAATTGCTAGAAGAGTTTAACACTAAGAAGTGCACAGTGGTCTACTCATTCCACATGTGGGATGGAGAATTCCAAACAAGGGAAGTTCTAGGATGGGAGCTGCCCAGTTCATACCAGTGAGTGGTTTTATACCAGTGCCTCAGAGCTCACAAGAGGCCTCAAGGATTGCCGTGTTCAGCTCATCAGTCCAGGATCAGGGCCTGTATCTGAGCACACTAATCCTTGTCTAACAGGTCTCCAGCCCTTCCACAGACACCAGTGTCACAGAGCCAGGGAACTGGGGATGTGCTCTGCAATGGGCCCACACACAGGGAATTGCCCAGCCTGACAAGGACACAGCCCTGCACCCCCCAGGCATCCTCAGGAGAGAACAGTGTGGGCTGTACCCAGACATTCCCACTATCCTTCTTTTCCATACATCCTGTAAATTATGCCACCCTTCACAAATACCCAATTCTCACTTGCTCACCAAATGCCTTTCACTTCTGCCACCCCTCCCACCCTCTTAAACTTCCTCCTTCCCTCTGGGAAAGGGGGGCACAAGGTGCAAACCACATTCCTCCCCCCACCCCACCCTGGGAGACGAGGATCCAAGGGGAAAGCTTGCAGGCACTCCACTCCTTGGCTTTGGGAACGGGAGACTCCAATCAGTCTGGAGTTTAAGGCTGCAGACTGATGGATTGCTTTAGGTCTGAATAAACTGGCACTGCCCTAAAAAGCAGTTCTGGCAGGAAGGTTTTCCATCAGTAGATCACCGAGGTGGTTTTATCAAGGCAGTAAAGCCACAGACAAAAGGGAAGATGGATTTGGAAGGGGCAGCAGAGGGGTGGCAATGAAGGACCAGACCCGGGGGAAAGCCTGACACAGAACACCTTTTTCACTCCAAAGACAGCCAGGCCTTAGTCAAGTTCTGGGGAACCTTGGGAATATCTCTTTTGGACATTTAGTTTATTATAAGAACTATGCCAGAGAAAGTAAAATCCCTACTTAAATCTGGTCTAATCAGTTTTGGGGGTGAGCATTATTATAAAAATCTGCTCAAGTTATCCTTAACCCTTATCCCAGGGAAAGAAGAGAGTATGCCTATACTTCTTGGCAATTGCTCTTTTCCATGGTTTTTAACTGCCTAAAGTTCAGCTCAAAAGCTGTGTGCAGCCACTGCATGGACTGCATCCCATCACTTCAACACTAACTGAAAGAAAGGATAAGATGATGTGTTAATTCCAGCCACAAGGCAGCTAAATGGCAAACACCCATCTTCGAAGTCTGGTAAGGTGTTTCAAAACGTTTTTAGCAGAATAGACCTTTACAAGAAAGATACATTAATGGCATATTTTGCTGTAGGTATTTTATTATGAATAATTACTTTTTACTTCCTTTTGTGGCGAGCTCCAAAAGAAGTCACCCTGTAAGCACTAAGGAAGGATTTTCTAATATTAAACACTTCTTTTACTGTCAGTCGGTATTTTGGGAATACAGCCTGTCCAAAAGCAAGGAAAGGGTTAAGAGTCACTGACCGCAGCCAGGCATTCTTGTCTTGATGTTTTGCTTAACAGCGTTAGCATTTAAATGGAATTCCCCGGGGCTTTGAAGTTCACACCTCCCGGTGCGGGCAAGGTGATGGGCAGGGGGGAGGAGCAGGAGTTTGCATCCCTGTGCTGCCTTTGTTAGGCAGGACCGAGACAGTTGGTATTTGCAGGCCAAGATGAGGTGCATTACTGCCCAACTGACACCGGTTTGGTCAACAAATCCCAGCCTTCAAAAGATGGAGAGTAGAAACTTGAGAGCAAGTCTAAATTAAAGTTTAAGGTGCCACTTCGGTTTAAACAAGTAAAAGCACATTAAAATAAAAAAAAAACACAACTGGCAGCATTCAGTAAAATGCTCTAAAGTTGTAGAGCTTTCCCATTCCCTTTCTAGTCATATTAAAGAAAAATGGCTCAAGTCAATGCCATCTTTAGGCTTTTAAGAAAATTAAATCAGACCTTTGGGCAAGTTCTTTATGCACACCTTTGTTTAAAAGAACTGTGCTCATCGGTCTATGGGATCTCTGAAAGAACATTCAGACAAACAGGGTAAGACATGTCCAACATGCCTCTGACCTGTACAACCCCTATTCCTTAAGGTCAATTAAATATTTATTTTCAATTACATATGTAATTTCTCCCCCCCCCTAGCGTCCAGGAAACAAGAGTCTCCAAAGTCACCAGCAAATAATTAAGGTCAGATGATTGTGAAGTTTTGCAAGCAGCAGCAGAAAAATTCTGGTTAAAGCCAACCCAGAAACCTTATCTGCAGTGTGTGTGAAGCAAACCTGGCAATAAAAAGGTCTGTGAAATACTCTTTGGCTCCTCTCTGTCAGGTGGAGGATCTGACTGGCTTAATCAAGGAACCCCTTCATGCCTGGCAGGATCTCCTGTGGCAGGAGTGGAAGCTGCAGCCAGCAGGTTCATTGCAACACTGCCTCAACTCTGCAGCCTGACAGGCACCCCAAGGTCAGGGCTGGAAAGGAACTTCCCAGTTTGGATCTGGAAGCTGTACAGCTCTGGATGCCTGCCAGCATTCACCACAGCTCAGAACTGCACAAATAAAACTGTGGAAGCAGTGAGGAAAATGAGACTCAGTCTCAAGGAAACCATTTTCTGCATCAGAGTAGAGTATTATCAGTATAGCACCAAACTTGATTTCACTGGAGCACATCAAGACTACTGAACTTTTCCATCAGGGTCTGAAAAGAAATCCAGCTTCAAATTAACTGCAGGTTTTTAGACACACACTTAACTTTCTCTGATTGTCCCCATGAAGACAAGCCTTGCACTTGTCAACGGGACTGGGACAGACACACATTCTCTCCTTTGTAGCTGTAAAACTCTGCTGCAAAATGATTTCACTGAATTAAATATACAAAGTATCAAAAATTATGGCTCTGTGCAAAAACAGAATCATGTTTTTAACCATGGCTATGCAGGAAAGAGATCTGAGTTGCACATTACCTTCTCAGTACCCCTCTTCTTTTCTCGAGGTTGGTTAAGTTTAGCTTGTCTGTCCACTAAAATCTTCTGCCAGTAACGTTGTTCATTGTCACCTTGCAGAAAAAATAACATTGAGGTACATGAAGAAAAGTAGGAAAAAAAATAGATGTACTGTTTTAAGCCTTCACACGTGAAAATACCTGTTAGGGAAACCCAGCAAATATTTCCCCAGTAATCTTAAAATTTCCTGGTCACAGAAGTCCTATAGAATTCTTCTCTACATGTCATGAGCAAAAGGAGTTGAGTTTTAGCTGAACTTTCACCACAGCACATGGAGGCCCTTTGATTTACTCATGTACTCAACCTCTGACTCATTTTAAAAAAAATTCCAAACAGAAAAAAAAAAAAGTGTAATTACTGTAAGAACAACTGAGACTGTTTTGTCCCATCAAAACCATTGCCTGGGGACTCCATGAGCTGTCAGGAATATTTGAACATGGGCAGCAGTACAAGGGCAAATAACTGTGCAGCTCTTCCCAGCAACTGCTTTGCAGTTAAGTTGCAGTTTTCCACTGTTCCCTCTGGTTTGGGATGTAACCACCACAATGGGAACTCTCTGTGATAGGTTGCATGGTCTCATGGTTCACCTCCAGGGAAGTTTCCCAAATGTATTCCTGCAAAAGTGAGCCATCTCCGATCATGTTCACATGATATTCACCTGAATATCTTTAGTAGTCAAGTCTTAAAAAGTAAAATATTACTGGGAAAGATTTAGTCCCTGCAGTAGGGAGCATTAAAGATTCCTTCCTTATTCTTATTCTCTCACCTTAGGCCAGGGAGGAAAACTAAAATCCTTACTGGGAGTCCCTCCTGCTTTCCTGGGAAGTTTTTCCATTCTTATTTCAATGAGCCAGTTAGAAAAAAAAAAATAAATCTTAATACTGTGAATAGAATGCTCCTACAGTGTAGTACTTATTCCTAATCTCCTACTACACTTGTATGTAAAGACTACACAACCAGAGACAATGAGAGACAAACTGAGAGCACTCAGCTGTAAAAGCCAAAATTGAGAGCTGTTTCTGGATCTGTGGAGCACAGAACACACTGGAGACCAATCTATGCCCAAGTGACATGAACAGCATTCACTGAGTCTTAAACTCGAATTAACTTTGATATTATCATGAAGGTTGATGCTGCTATTAAAGCTTTGCCTTCTGCAATCCTGAATTGACTTTTTGGGGAGTTTGTATCCCTGCACTCATGAAACTGGACTCCAAGTGAGGGTCTGTGCAGGAGCGGGGTAAAATCTCAAATACACAGATGAGGGAATCTCATCTGCCTTTTTTTGCACATTTAGCATTTTTAGTGCATGTCTAGAATTTAAAAGCTTAATTGTGAGAGACTTGCTCTTCTTTCTACCTCTCAATTCCATAGAGAGATTTTTCTACACTTGGAAAACTAATCCAATTCAGTCTGAGACTGGAAGTAATTTCAGAAAGAAGTAATACACATTAGAATGAAGTTCCAAAGTAGAACCTGTGGAAATTTTTGTGTTAATACAATTAAGAAAAAGGTTTATTCTGGCCTAAGTTATCCAACTTCCTGAAAAATCAAGATAATTAGTAGGTAAGTGCTAAACCCACTCCAAGTGTATCCATGCTGTTGGACCCTTGTCCTGTTATTTCACACTTCAGTTCGGTATTTAAGTCTTTTTAAAACTCTTTTGCATCATCAGAACGTTCTATTCATAAAGCTGACACGTGAATTAAGTGCACTTCCACTGAAAGTGAAGCAAATCAGTCAAAAAACCCAAACAGAATTAACAGCAAGCAAAGTTCATTTTTCTCTGAACGGTGGCATAAAACCCCTTAGAGTTTTACTCATTTCACTAATTGTAAAATTACCCCCCAAAAACCAAGCAGCCTTTTTCCCCAAAGCAAGATATTCAGACACATCCCTAAAGCCACCAGGTGAAAGGATCCTTTCCACAGTAATTATTCCACAGTCTTCTCCTGCACATTAAAACAAACAAACAAACAAACAAACAAACAACAAAAACCAACAAAATCTTACCAGTGAGAACTTCGAATTTGCAGTTGTTTTTGATCTGGATCTCTTTGTGGGATTTCAGGACAGTCTGGGCATCCTCGGGGGTCTTGAAGCGGACGTGACATTCCGTGTCTCCCTCCAGCATGTCAACATAAGCCACCTCAGCCAGCACTGCCAGAGCATCCTGGCAAAGCATGGGGGAGAACACACACCATAAATCAGCCTTCAGAAGGAGAATACAATAAAAAGAGTGACTTTTGACCATTCCATCTGGAGGTCATTAACATTCTCAAAAAGTAGGAGGCAGTAGCTGAACTCTGTCGTTTAATCCATCAACCTCTTGTCAAATAGTTTGGAGTTTATATGTTTTCCTAAGGAGGTTATACCTGAATTCTCATTTACCAGCCTACAACATCTACCCATCTCTTCCTGCCATCCAACAACTTAAAGCAGTAATTTCTGAAAAAGTCGGTATCATTTTACTAAAAGGAGCATCAGTAATTATATGGGGTTTTTTTCAACACTGTATCTGACTTTTTTTCTAAGAAGTTAAATTATTGGCATACTACCACAGTGGGGACCCCACAGAAAACATAACACTTTATTGCACGCATTAAATATATAAAACCAAGCCCATTCACGGCAGATGACCTGAGAAATGAGTAGTAAAGCAACTCTGTCTTTATGAAGTGACCTCTGCCTGACAGTTTGCACTGACAGCTAAAGGAAGAAGAGTCACAAATGTTCTTGCAGATGAAGTACTTGACTTGTAATTCCTGCTGTTAGGGAAATTAAGCACCACCACACATTCCTACTCAATTTGGTTCCCAGCAGGCAGCTCCACTAAGATGCTTCCATTCAGGAACCACACACTGCTTTTAACCCTCCACTACCGAGGGCAGCCTTAAAACAAAAAACAAAGGTTAAGTGACAGCGCTGTTAAGATCATTTGAGAGCCACCAAAAGCTGCTTTCCAGCCTCATCCCGGTATCCCAATGTCATGACTGCATGGAAAACTAAAAGGAACCGAAGAGTTCACTGGAGTGAGCAGCTCTGAGAAGCACCTTAAGAGCAAAACGGGGCAGAAGTATAAAATTAAAACATGGCAATAGTATTTGTGGCAGTTTTCTGCAGCTGATGGTCCAGTAACACAGCAAAGCCAGGTTTGGTGGCAGTTCCTCCTTCAACAGTTATGTAACCAGTATGGCCAGGGGGGGAAAAAAATCCAAAAAAACCAGTTAGTTTTGTGCTCTTTTAATAGTAAGTTTTCCTCCTGCCCACACCACCTTAGGGTGTGACACAAACTCTTAACAGTGAAGTATATTCTGCAGTCCAGGGGGCCCTCAAAGGTTACAGGGACAACTGCCACATTCCCTCAGTGTCTCCAGCACTCAGACAACTGCCTGCAAATACACCAGATAAGGCTGATTGAGTTGGAACGCCACCATCACTGGGTTTTCAGGGTGAGAGAGTCTCTCCTCTTGCTTAGGTTTATGCACACAAACCTCACACACTTGGTCAGTGACTCGAAATGGCCTTCTCAGTTATAAATATGGTTTGAGAAATCACCTCCAAACTCCCCTTTTGAACCATGTGAACGACTGACCTAAGTGCTCTGGGTATGGAGTTGTTCAAATTCTTTCCAGTTGTTATTCATCCAGAAGTGCAATTTGTGAAAGAAAGTGTCCTGTGTCAAACATGGAAACTTCAGTATCTGGAAAAACGCTGTTATTTCCTTTGGAAAACTTTTCATATTTCCATTTCAAAAGGATGCAGCTTAAAACTGGTATTTTCCTTAAAAGGAAATATTCTGCTTAGCACGTGTAACTTTTGTATGGTGACATCACACCAAATGGAAGGTATCCTAGACACTTTTCAAGAGGAAAAACAGCACTTGGCAGAGGAAAATAAAAGTGACCCATTTGACAGGCTCTACTGAAATGGAATTTGTCACTGTAAAGTTATTATTGGGAAAAGAAAAAGAACTGTGGTTTGTTTTTTTTTTTGAGAGAGAGCATTTTCCTGCCCCTTAATTCCTGCTAATGGAATTAAAAAAATATATAGTTTTATATTAATTAAGGAAATGTTTTTATAGGTTTCTTGTCAGGGTAATTGGCACAGTGATTGATGCAAAGTTCTGTATTTGTGTCCAACTCTTGTTAAACTGGGAAGCACTAGAGAGCTCCTTATTTTTGTCCATATTTTCATTATAAACTTGACATTGCTCAAAGAACACCCAAGGCTTGTTTTTCACTTTGAAACACCCTCTTGAGCCCATTTTGCCCTCGTAAAATCTCTCGTTCACAGGTACTAGACAAGAATCTGTATGCAGCTAGTGGCCAAAAAGATAAAAAAAACCTTCAGCCAGCCTGGGTTAAATGCTCTTCCATATTCAAACATTTGGGGGGCACAGCGAGAGGAAGGGCCAAGAGCTTCCCTGAGGTTACAAAGGCATTACCTTGATGTGCTTCCTGCCCGGCAGGGGCTCGGTGCTAATGATCTTCACAATTACTCCGCTGACGAACTGAGGCCCCATTGTGTTGGCCTTGGCGGGAGGGGCACCGTCTTCACTGGGGGCTGCTGGAGTTAAAAACAGGGAGGGGGGGGAAAAAGAAAACAACACCAAAAGAAAGTTTTAAAGCCTGTTAAATTGAGGAACTAAAGTTCTGCAAAAGTTCTGCAGAAGTAACACAAGGTAAACAAGCAGCAAATATTGTTAGTGCAGGTAAGCTGTGGGTTTTTTAAACCAAGGTCAAGATTGTCCCCAGGTTAAAAAGTCGATGTAAGTAAAAAAAAAAAGAAAGATCAAGAAAACAACCTTAAAAAGGTTTTTATAGTCCACAGTGTCCTTGTAAGAATATTTTATATTCTATTGATTATAGTTAATAGTTGAACCCTCAGTTTCAGAGCAATCAAAAATATGCAGACAGGCGTTGGAACACAAGTGCTGAAGTTAGTGAAAAGAAGCAAAGAAAATTCACAACAACAGACATCTCTATATCCAACAACGGTAGAAGTTTTAATATAAGGACATAATTACAAAGCTCCTTTTAATCATAAAGCAGATAAAGCCCAATTGCAAGATGGCTTTTTTTTTTTAAATGAAATTGTTTTGTGAATCACTGCAGTTCAGTGATTAACTGCTTAACTACAGTTAAGCCAAAGCAAACCAGGCCCGAGCTGCAGTCTCAAAAAAGCTGATTCCTGATTTACCTCTGAGGCTTTTAAAATTACATTTACCTAAAAATATCCTTAAGCTTAAGAAGGGCTACTGGAATATGCTGAACTGGCTTGTTTGGTCTTTATTTATAAAGCACCTCAGTCCCGAATGTATCTAAATACAAAGGGGGACGTTGCTTTTAGTATTTGGGACTCAGAGAAAACACCGTCATTTCAGAACATAAAACCACGTGGCAGCATTTCTGCAAGATCAGTGTCTTAGATCCCTTGTGTTGGTGTAGTAGAAACATAAAAAGCAAAACAAAACCCGGGGTTACTTTTGTGATTTTCCGATTTCTGGGCGCAGGATTCCGTTTCCATCTCCCCCGCGGGCTCGGGTTTGATTTGAGACATGGTTTTCTTTAAGGAGGCCATACTGGCTTTCTGCAGGGCCAAATATTCTTGCTTCAGTCCCATCCACTCGGTCCTGTAAGAGGCGAAACAGGCACAGCACGTCAGTTGTAAACAAGAAAACTGCGTTTAGAAACTTCCTGATAATTGAAGAGTTTACAAACAGCTTAAGGCCGACTCGGTGAACACTTGAAACCATCAGAGATCTTCCTGCACTTCGGTCAAATTAAACATTGTCCACATCCAATTTTTTTATTATTTTGCTTTCGATTTGATAAGCCAAGAGAGTTCCAACGGGACCAACGGAGAGACTCCCAAATTTGTTTTAAGTATTCAGACAGCATGTAGAACAGCTTGGTAAACTTGTGTTTTTCACTGGAACTACACAGAGCACAGGCACCAAACTCAGAGTTAATTCAGAGGCAGTAAAGTCTGAATTCACTGAATTAGTTCACTGAACCCACTCCTGTGTCACTATATTAAGAATCACTCACTTATTTTCTGGAAAAATCATTGATGGAAAATCAACAGCTGGTTAAACCCACCAAAACCCCGCCGAGATAAGGACATTCCTTACCATTCAAATGCATTTTGGTGAAAAACTCCCCCCCCCCCACGGCACCAATTTATATATTTACATACATTTAACATGGAGATGTTTCTGCAAACAGGGCGAGAGCTTTGCTCCGGCAGCAACACAATGCCCGCGGTGCCACTGTGAGAACGACTCATTGTTACCCTAATCCGCGCTATCAAACGAGCTGATAGAAGATTTTTAAAGAGGAGGATATCTTGGGGTAATGGTTTTAGCTGTTAACGGTGACAACTGTATACTTCAAAAAAAAAAAAAAAAAAAAAAAAAAAAAAGGGAGATCCAGACTCACCCAGGATCATACATTCTCAGCAGAGCAAAGGCATTAAAATAACAAAAGGCCCACGTAATGATTCTTGGAGATAAAGAGGCAACACCGTGCCTTGGTAGGGTTGGTATAAATACAAGCTGCCGAGCTTGAGCTCCAGGAAGATCCCAAGGGGACTCCATTAGGTGAGTATTTGCAATGCTTGTGCTCTTTTTTCAACCTTTTTTTATCGCTCTCTTTTGCTACAGTAAAATAAAATTTTAACTCAAATTCTCTATTTGTCGCAGTTTGCTCGGAATCCTGATGGAAGAGGACCAGCATCGTCAATAACTGTCTTTTTTTTGTGTGTGTGTGGACCCCTTTTACTTTAACATGGAGGTGCTTTCTGTGATATAGAAAAAGTAAGTGCTTCCATGTTTTAGTAGAGGTGAATCCTGATCGCAATCCTGCAACATCTCCTGGGATTTTCCCTTTGGTTTTTTTTTTTCTGCACTTCGGATTAAAGATACTTAAATTCGGGAAAAAGAAGATTGAAGACTTCGGTGGGAGCAGATCTTCCTCAAGACCAAAAAGTGGCTAAAGCTCATTTTAAATTTTAAAGGACTTCCTTTGCTTTAACATGGAGGTACCTGCTGCCTAAAAAAGTAAGTGCTTCCATGTTTCAGTGGCGGTGGATCCTAATATTCCAAGGATTTTTAAATAAAACACATGTATGTATTTTATGGTCAAAACCTTGGGGTGGGATTTTATCATTTAGTTTCTCCACCAAAGGACCCCCACAACTTTAATGTGGATGTACTTGCTTTGTTCTTTAATAGTAGTAAGTGCTTCCATGTTATAGTGGTGGTGAATCCTTATTTTTCCTCAACACTTCCCTCTAAGAAACCTATCAAAATACCAACCAAATGTGTTTAAACATAAAGCACAATTTTCATCATGGCAAGGACCCCCTCGACTTTAACATGGGAGGTACTTGCTGGATGATTAAAAAGTAAGTGCTTCCATGTTTTAGTTGTGGTGACTCCTGAGAGTCCCATCAGATTGGAAATAATTTGTGTTTTACAGAGAGCTATGGGAATTTCAGTCTGCAGGCTAATACTGTTGCTAATGTGTAACTCTGTTGTAAGCAACTGGAATTGCACTTTAGCAATGGTGTTGGACTGTCAGACATGCATAGATATAAAGAATCCTAATTAAAATTATTTCTAGGGTTGGTTGGCAACATTATCTGTAAAGTAACTGTATTGAATTTATCAATGTCAATAAAGTATGCAAACGAAGAATTTGAGAAATTCTCCTGCAGGAGATATTTGCAGGAAAATACCCCTTAGGTTCACTAAATACCCGAGGTAAAATTGTAAAATAACACATGAAACTTTACGAATATAATTTGCCAATAATCAAATTACAGCCATATCGAGAACTGAAAAATTTAAAAGTTTTGTTTTTTTAATAAAACTCACCCTAGAACAACATTAAAACCTCTACCCAGTTATGTCACCTACTTGGACAGTACTCTGAGGGGGATGACTTCTTCCTCCATTTTGTGCCTTTCCTTGTGTTTCTTTTTGTGTTTCCTTTTAGCTTTGGAAAGGGATGTGTCTTTTTTATCTTTGTCTTCTTCTGCAGAAACTTCTACATAAAAAAGAAAAAATGTTTATTTATATGTTCTAATACAATCACTGAATAAAATCACTTTTTCCTATTGACTACTTCCAGTGCAGTTCATCAATTACCTGAGTTTTACAGTCTTGTCACACCACTACACGTGATTTTAATGCAGTTTTCCTTATCTCATGGAACCAACTGGGATCATCAGCATTTTCCTTTTGTATTTTAAAGTATTTATCTAGAGTCCTATGCTGTCTCCATTTGCCAAGCCTGTTTAACACATCCTTTAACTTAATAATCCTTAACTCAGTTTATTGATATGAAGTCCTTTGAACTATTTTTACTTCTGATTAGATTTACCTGCTTTGGTGTTGCAAGTTCTTCCCTATTCTCCATGCAGCTCCTCTTCTTGGAATGACTCCTCCCCAGGTTTAAATTTAACTGCAGGGAATACCACACACTCCCAAAATGACCTAGTATATCCACTTAACTATAATAATAATATATCAGAGCCAACAACCTTTACCATTGGAATCCTTTGGAGCTTCTGTTGTTTCTTCTTTTACTGGTTCAGCTTCATCCTTTTCAGCAGTTTTCTTGACTTTTGGAGCTGATGTCTCCCCATCTCCTGAGCTGGTTCTTTTCCTCTTCCCAGGCCTGCTTTCACAAGTTACCTCTGAATTTTCTGGTTTGTCCCATTTCCTTTTTTCCCTCCTGGAGGGCTGCCTTGGAGTCTCAGTTGCCTCCATTTCAGAACACTCAGATGGAGTCCTCTGTCTTTTTGCTTTGGGTGTTGGTTCTGTTGTAGTGCTGCTGTTTGATTCCTTTGGCTCTGCAGCTGCCTGTGCATTGCTCTCTTTCTTCATTTTCGATTTCTTTTTTTTCTTCTTTTTCTTCTCCTCTGTGTTAAAAATACCATATTTATATCTGCCCACGATGACACACTACATTGGATTAACCTGATACCACATGTCATGATAAACTCTTCTCTGGGAGAGAGGCAACACATTATTCCCCAGGTTTCTCTGGGAATTTTAAGAAGAGGAAAAAAAACCCAGGAAAAATAAAATGGATTTTATTCCCCCCCTCCAGTTACTGGTGTAACAAAAATAGTGGTAATTGTGAGGTGTATTAACATGATTTATCATAAAGCTTTCAATAAAAAAGATGGGCAGTGTCTGAAGTCTGGGAAATTGTGTATTACACCACCAGAAAGCAGGAAAAATGTTTCAATTATTAAGTTGCAACATCATCTCCTGATGCTGCTTTCTAAGTTCCAGTAGATTGTATTTATTGGAACCGTGCCCAGATGCCAATTCAGCATTATTTTCTCAGCAATATCCCCTTTTTTTTTTCCCCCCAGTAATCATGAGCCATGCAGAGAGGTAATGCAGAGATGCTGTAAGAAGTTCATTCCTCTACAGAGTGCTCCTGCTGAAAGAGCAACAGTTCCACCTTCTCTTCAGCAGCTGAGGCACTAAACTCATCCAAATAACTCTGAACACTTACCTACTACAGTGCTGTCACTTGTGTTCAGTGTAGGAACAGGCTTATTCTTCACTGTCTTGGGGAAAATCCCAGGTTTCCGTGGTGCTTCTTCTGGTGGATTATTCAAAAACTTAAGAGAAGGAAAATGAGAACAAACCATTGCTAAAAAATCATGCTTTTTAAAGACTCTCCATCCAAGTTACAGTCAGCAGTCCTAATCATATTCCAGTAGAGAAATACTTTCAAATCACAGTGAAATACAGAAAGTTAGGCATGACTGTGCTTGTCTGATAAAATTTAATAGCCACTGAGCTCTATTTCAGTAAGAGATGCAAAGTGTGGCCAACCAAATTACTGAAAAATTAAAAAACCTATTATGCTTCAGTTAAGTCCCAGGTTTATTAATGAGTTAATTTTTAAAGAATTGTGGAACTGATTGGAAGTCTGGGAGCAGGAGACAGGAACATAACTCCTGGTAAGTGAAGTTTATAAATCATGGTATTTTAGGAATTTCTCAAAGATTCAGCAGGTGAACTAATAAAGACCAAACTATTCATGTCACAGTGACAGTAAGGACAATGTTGACAGGGCAGAGGCACCAGCACTCACCTCAATAGCTTTCTCTGCTTGCTCTTTAGTTTCAAATTCCACAAAGGCAAAGCCCTTTGGGTCCCCAGTAGTTTTGTACCGGGGTATACTGACATAAACCACGTTACCACACTTGCCAAACACCCTCTCGATCCAACTGTGATTGACATTTTTGGGAAGCAGCTCCTAAAGAAAAAAAAAAAAGGCGAAAAAGATAAAAGTGAAGTGATCTGAGAACAAATTCATATCTCTATAACAAATGCATTCCATACTTGATTTAGATGTTCATCTTCTTCCTGTGAGAGACACCAAGACCTCACCACCTGCAGGTGTATCTTTGCAACATTGAAATCTTACATCCTGGTAAATTTAAGACCTTGGAGCAAACACAAGTCTGCACTGCCTCAAACTACCCACTGCAGAGCACAAGGAATGTTTTACTTTTATTTTTTGTTAATTGGTGGCAATGCAGGTATCCCAGAAAGGGTTCTAGGTCAGTACAGAGTCACTGCTGCTGAATTCCTGCTGCAAGCTGACATTTTCAAATATAGCAGTTAGCACTTGTGACAGAAGCTTTCAGGCAGCTTCTTGGATGGCAAAACTGTCTGATTTTTATTTCTATAAAATCCTTAATACAGCAACACATTTCAGCAGCTTGCAGACATCACGTCTGAGTTCCACATTTCCACTCTCCTGTCATACCAATTTCTAACAGGACCCAGCTGAACACTTTAAAAAATCCCACTGACAAATTCTTGCCTAAACAACAGTGTGTCAGCACTGCATTTTTTTTCCATGGCAAGTTACTGCACTAAAAGGTTTCCCTTGTAGAGAAACATCTGCCACATTCAGGTAGAAAACTGTATTTCCATTAACTTGGTCCGTCAGGGAAACATTTCGTTATTGTTTGGTCTGAAGTTGAAAAGCCAGCTACTCGAACCTTTAAAAATATTACGGGATGAGTTCAAAGTAATAGTAAATGTTTATGTTAAAGCATATTAAAAAAAAAAAAAGGCAGGTTATTTCAGAGAAATTTAACTCAGCACCACTTCTGTTGTCCCCATTGCCATGTCCCAGCTATTTACCAAACATCTGGCCACACACTTGAGCTGTGTATAGACGATGCAGCTCACGCCATTTACAGTATCTTATCCAAAAAGTGATACAAGACAAAGTGTTCGAGAAGTTCAAAGCAGTCCCTGTAATCACGTTAGGGAAATGTTATGTCTGGCACGTCGTATTTACACAAACAAAACCCAACCACCTTTCCTGGGCTTTTGTTAAAGGAGGGACGATCAGAGCAATTTGGTTTCTTCTTATCTGGCTGGGCTGGTGTTTTGGCCATGATTGTTGTGTGTCTATCCCAGAAACCTCGGTGCCTGCTAGGAATTACTAATGCAGCTCTTACCAGCTACAGGTCATAAAAAGCTTTCTTGAGAGACAAATGGAAATTCCACACTGGCTTCAATATCAATATTTAAAAAAAAAAATTATATATATATTCAACGTGAAAAAAATTGCTTTACTATTTAAAAAACGGCCCAAGATTTTCATGTGCAACAGTTCAACCATCAGATCTCTTCCCAAGCTACCAGTGAAGCTGCTCAACAATCTGATAAAGCTGACACATCTGAAATTACACAGTGACACAGACTTCTCCCATCAGCACAAGCTGTTTTCAGTTAAATTAAGGAATCACTCCAGGAAAGTAGCCATAGGACAGCATGCTAATAGGAGAATTTAAACAAAAAATTAATTAGGAGAACTGTAAGGAAAAAAAAAAAAGTTTAGGTATATTATGCCTTTAAAAGAATGATGTTTGTGTGTTACAAAACCAGAGGCACTTGCAGTAACAGGTCTTATAAACAGATTGTACTTCTTAAAGTACCCCTGATGAAGTTGCAAACTCAGCCAGAGCCTGTCTGATGAAACTAATTAAGTTGTTACTACAAAGCTTTAACTACATTAATGTAATTGGTAAATGTTCCTTGGTGCCACCGGTGTTCCTCTAATGGCATTTACAAGAAAAGCCCTGTGAACAGAGCAATAGCTCAATCAAATTGTACCTTTTCTTACCAGCACGTGAAGCAGCTCTTGGCTCAGCACTTAAAATGATTTAAGAAATCCATGTACCAAAACGACCCCTTCCTTGCCACAGTCACTTGCAGTTCTGTATTCACTGAATTCAAATTTGATTTAAACAGGGCTGCACAAGCAGCAGCCCCTGCCCAGTTTACAAGACTATATATATTTTTGCACTCTTAATTTAATTTATTTTAATCAAAGAGCTGATAAGAGGCACCTGAGGGACACACAAGCCCAGCCTTACCACATAGACAGTCCGACTGTCCACATCCTTTGGCCTCTCACCCAGTGGTTGGCGTCTTCTGATTCTGGTTCCTTCCAAGTCCAGCTAAAAGTAAGGAGAAATAAGCATTTTTCCATGAGATTGTTGCCCACTTCAGCACCTCCACCGCTGTTTTTCCAGCGCCAGCAAACACAGAAACGTTAAAAGGTTTAAAATGTGAAAAGCCAAATACCTCCACAACAGAGGAGCTTTTAACTGCCCGAGCGATCAGCTTCCCATCAGTAGTTAATTTTTTCATCTTGTTGAAAGAAACAAGAAGTGATATGTCAACATCTAAAGGGAAAAAAAAAAGAGAGAAAGAAGGTGTAAATTATGAAATCAGGGTAATGTCTTCTACTCAGACGATTTTCACCATCAAAATTCAAGTTTCAGGTACACCCAGATTTCATTTTCTTCGGTGCTAACCTTTATCAAAGGAATTTGGTTCTTTCACCTCCCCACTGGTAACTGTTGTCTTTGAAGAGAAAGGAAGAAATCCTCCCTTTCTGATGCAGTTTTACAAGACAAGAACAATTTGCATTGAAAACAGTGCCTCTCCTTCAAGTGCTCAATTGAGTGTTTAACCCCACACAAAGAGCCCCCTGCCTGCTCTTCGCTTGCAAGGAGTCAGGCTGCAAAAACCTTGAGAGAAAATTAAGTAGTATTAGTCTTAATAAAAATTTAGACATCCCATCTCTAGTGTATCTAAACAATGTAGGATAAAATGCATTTATTATGTTGTTAATTATTTAAGGGTATCCTTTAAAAAGGGCTCGACGAGAAATAAAACTTTCCCTGAAGTTTGAGTTGTTTTGTTGTTTGTTTTTTTTTTAAAAACAAACTGGCTTAAAGGTCAATATAATTGAAGACTATAGCAAGCACTTAGAAAGGTACATTCCCTACATAACACAACTGGATTAATGATTTACATTTAAATTAAACAGGGACTCCTTAGCAAAAATAAGTAAACACTTTTAAAAAACCCTATTTTTTTTTGTTTTGTTCTGATGGAAAAGTATCACCACTTTTCCCAGACATACTGCACTGTGAGTCCATTTGATATAACACACGATTTAACCATTATACTGAGAGGCAATTTACCACACACTGTACTGATTTTTAAAGCAAAGACATATCAGTCACTGCAGCTAATGTGCAAATTCATTTCTGTAGAAATTGGAAAAGAACTTCAGGTCCAAGCTCAATTTTCTGCTCTGAAGTCACAAATCAACCACGTGGAAAAGCTGTCTAAAGGAAACACTCCCAGGAGCCCTACAGGCAGATACACAATGAATTATGTATCAAACTTCTACAGAAAACACACACCCAAGTGACATTTTAATTTCTGCACATATCTACCCCACCAGACAAGTTACCTCCAAGAGCAAAACGAGCTTTGTTTGTTCATTCTTAAAATTATACAAGGAGAAAAATCAGGTCTCCCAGACAGTCATTTCCACCTGGCAGATGCCTCTAACTTATGGCTCATTCTGAAGGAAAGGGAAAGAGACACTAAACAATTTTAAAAATGCAGTATCCAGCTCTGACTCCTGAGCTGTTGATGCCGATTTTCAGCATGGAGCTACTGCCTTCCCTCAGGAGCATATGTGCACCTCAAAATAAACATAAATGTTTACTGAAATATACTGAATATAAACTTACACCCATCTCTGGACTTCTCTATTTGTTCTCGGAGAAATCTGTCTTTGTGGAGATTTACATCCCCAAACCAGAAATCCACTTGCTTGGCTATATCTGCCAGCACCTGTTTAACCCTTGACCTCTTCTTCTTCTCCCTCTCCTTTTTCTGTTCAGTGCTTTCTTCTTCCATGGCTTTGTCTCTCGCTGCTTCAGTCTCCATTCCTGTCATCCTGTCAAATGAAAGGTAGAGATAATATTAAAAAAAAAACAAAAACAAACAAAAAAAAACAACAACAAAAACCTTAAAATAGTCCTATTTCAAGAAGTTCACATTCTGGGTTTATCTTCTGCAGAAAAACAAGATACTTGCCAAAGAGAACCTACAGAAACTAAATCTAGAAAGGAGGGACTGTTGGTATTTATAGCAGGTCTGGTAATAGTCAGGTTTGTTTTAAAAAACTAGCTTTATTATGTCAAAAGTGCAAAACCACTCTCTCAGCTGCCAAGGGCAGTAATTCAGTAGTGTCTGATTTTAATGGTAAACCAAAGCATGTCAGAAGCTCAGAATCAGGGCCCTAGAAATTCAAGACTAACTAGAAGGAAGTGACTTAATGTACAGGTTTACTTTTGAAAATATAAAACCTCTTTAATGCATTCATTCAACTTTTTTGTTCACATTTCAATTCCTGCAGCTGAAAACTGCCAGTCACCACTTCAGTACCTCATTTCACAAGTGCAAAAAAAAAAAAAACCAAACCCACAACCAGACAAAAACCCCCCACAAACCCAAAAAACCCATGCTGCCAGGAGCAGACAGCTTTTGGAAAATTAAATTAACACAAAAATTCGAGTAATTAATGTCACAATCACCACATGAAAGACTTGTCAGCTCTGTGCCAAGGCAGCAGGGCCATCAGGGAGGAAAAGCCCACCTGGACAACAGGCTGGTGAGATGGAAATGGTCTCCAAATTATTGTGCAAATCAGGCTTCCTCAGCGGGAGATCAGCTCCTCTCCCCGCTGGGAGCTCCAGGTAGTGAAAGGTCAGCAATTACCTTGGAAAGATAAGCCAGGTAAAAACTCCCAGCTAAGCAAGTTCAAGCTCCACTCAAGCCCTTCAGCAAGTTTTTTGTATTAATAACCAGCAGGCTGCTTAGCTGAGGGCTACAGGGAGGTGCCCCAGGAAGGTAAAGCATGATTGTGGGAGATCTGTAGTGGCTGAACAGCATTGAGTGACCACATCAACACGAGTGTGGCTCACCTACAGCAGAGACTGGTTTGGAGAAGCATTTGGAGTCATACCCTCCCAGGAGAGAAGTTAAAAGATGAACAGCTGCAGGCCACGTTCTGGGCTTCCCCTCACTCGGTGCTTTAGAAGTGAAGCTTGGAGAACATGACTTTGGGACTTAAAACATTAAATCATACTCAAAACACAGAGCCAAGAGTAAATGCCAGCTCCGAATATGTACATAAACTGAAGTAATTAACGCGGCAATCACCTTATGCCAAGGTCCGTGGTAGTTTGGATTTTTCACTTGGCAACTCTCACCCTGCCAGCACTATTCTGATAAGCCATTAAAATCAGAAGAAAGCAAAAGCATCGTCAAAACTTCACTCTGAAATAAAACCTCAGTGCCTCTACATCCCAGAGTGAAAGAAGGAAAAGGAGGGGCGATTAAGCAGGGGGGAAGGAACTTCAGGAAAGCAAAGATAACGTAAACAAAAATAATTCAACTTCACATATATTTACAGAAACTTACCTACGGTCTTTAAAAAGCAAGCATTAAACATGTCAGTGCTAACCTGTATTCAAACCCAACTTCCATCATTATCAACACCTAGAAAACATAGTAAACTTCGACTGTACTCCAAGGTCTGTAAGAAGCAGGGTGCTGATATAAAATACACTTTATTCTTTTAAGCACTAATGCGAAGGCTTATTTGCTTTGGGCATTTTAAGTGGCAAAATGGGGCAAGTGAAGTTGGGGGATGAAAAATTCAAAATACTTTATAAACTCTGAAAGTGTTTCTATATAGTCAGTGGCAACACTTGTCCTTCCGGGCACTTACTGCAGAATAAATGCAAGTATTCAGCAAACCTGAAACTACTTAAAAAGAGGCACATCCTGGCATATTTTCACAGCAATGTAGACACAGGTAGAGCTGCAGCAACGAAGTTTCTACCCTGCCTTTTAACTTCTCCCTATGCAAAAGGACGGGAGATTAATACATGGGGACCAGCACAAATGTCTTCACCTAAAAAACAATGGAGCTCCTGCTCGTCCCTCCATTTTAAGCAACAAAACCAACACATCATTTTAGAACTACGTATAAGGTATTTAAACAGATTTAATGAAACCTCTGTGCTCATTAACAGAAAAGGCTTTGCTTCCACCTCACAGGGATGAGTGTTAAGGCTGTTTCCAAACCCCTCTGTGTCAGTCCTGCCTTCCACCACCATAAGAGGTGGAAAAGGGGATTTATCTGTGTTCAGGAAGTGACTGGACGTGGTCCTCAGTGCTCTGGTCTAGTTGATAAGGTGGTGACTGGTGAAAGGTTGGACTTGATGATCTCAGAGGTCTTTCCCAACCTAAATGATTCTGTGATTATAATTAAAATACACGCCCTCAGCACCAAGTTAGGAATAGGCGGATTCACCTATATGACACCAAAAGGGCAGCCCAGCTCCCTCACCTTAGTCCCTACACAGTTCTCACCCTCTGGTAACTCAGGTGAATTCTGTGACCTAAAAACTAAATCATGTCCTTCCCCACTGGGTAAAACCAACCGATTAAAGAGGTGAGCAAGCAGCAGAGATGGAGAAAGGAAGCAGCAGGAATAAGCAGCTGGAAGCGGGATGGAGGTGGATACAAAAGCCAGGCATTCTGCTGCCGTTTTTACACCTGCATTCTACCAGAACCAATGGATACCTATAGGAGAACCTCATCTTCTTTACCCTTCAAACAAAGGGGAAACAGGTTTTTCTAGCCCTAACTTATATTGGCCAGCCCAGCAACTGGCTAAGTCGTGCTTGTCCTCAGGTCCGACCACCACACATTTAGCACTGCAGTCAGTGATAATTCCAATGTGTTGTGTAGCCTGTTGCTTTTCCAAGGGCACCAAGTAAAAGGATCGGCAGGTGCTGCTCATATAATTACTCACAGGCCTCGTATGGATAAAATATTAAAGAAAGCAAGCGCAGACTAGCCCGAAGCGTTATTGCTCATGTCCCCCCACCTCTCAACACAGGATCCTCTTGTGATAAACTGAGAAAATGATTCGAGCTAATTAAGAGAAAACAGTGTAAGGTCAATATGACCTGGAGAGAAAAGAAAAACAAGTCGTAAAACTTAATTGGGCCCCTATAAAGAGATAAAACAAGTTACCTCCCTTTTACCTTGTGTAGGATTTATAATGAGAGAATTTTGTTTAGTTAGCTAGCTAATAGCACCTTTCTTAAAATTTATAATTTTTTATAGATAACAAGCGAACATCTGCTGAAAGTCTGATTTAACAATATATTATGGATGCTTATAGATAACATTCTTGTTAAGAAATATCTGTAGAATGTCTGACCTAACAATGTGTAATGTTTATACTCATGTACCTAACAATGTGTAACGTTTATACTTATGTATAATGAATATTCATGTAGTAGCTGGAAATAAATGTAGAACAAACGTCTTCTTTGGGTGTGACAGGCGTTGGGAGTTGTTGAACCCCTTCCCTGATCACCCAGCGCTGAATTTGCTTTTATCATATAATAAAATTCTGATTGGAAATTGCCCGACTGGGTTTCTATTTCTCACACTCTCCTCCAACATGAGGCTTGACTCCAAGAGTCACCTGCGCGTCGCCTCAGGGCGAAGCCACCTCAGCACTCCGGGGCGACGCCGGGGGACAGGGGCAGTGAGGAGCCCTAAGGAAGGCGCCACCGGCGCCGGGAGAAGCGGGACACCAGGAATACGGGATGCCCAGGGGCGGGCGGCGCCGCAGGTGAGGGCAGGTCGGGGTCAGGAGCGGGCGGCAGGCGGGGAGCGGCGCTGCGCTGAGGGAAAGGGCGCCCGCCATCGCCTGAGGGGACCGACCGCCCCCGCCGCGAGGGGAGCGCGAGGGGAGGGGGCAGCGCGCGAGCGGCGGGAAACACGCGAAGGGGGCGACAGCGCCCCCTGCCGCCGCCACCACCCACAGACCCGCACCCCGTTCCCAAGTCACTGACCTGCCGTCGGCACCACCCACAGACCCGCACCCCGTTCCCAGTCACTGACCTGCCGTCGCCGCCACCACCGCCGCGGAGACACTGGCTCGGCCCGCCCCGTCCGCGGCTCCTCCACCGCCGTTATCCCCGTCAGTCCCGGCGCGACGCGCTACCGAGTTCCACCGCCCCCCCCCTCTCTCCCTTTGAAGGGATGAAAAGCCCCGCGGCGGCGCCCGCGCGTGCACGGCGGCGGGGGCGGCGGGGGGCGCGCCTGGCCCCGCGCACACGTGACTTCCTCCCCCGCCGGGCGGCGCGCAGCTGTGACGTCACGCGGGGCGCCGCGGCGGGAAGTTCGAGAGGGCGGCGGCTGCCCCCGGGATCCCCGTCCCGCTCCTAATCCCCATCCCCGTCCCGATCCCGAGCCTGATTCCCATCCTGGTCCTGATTCCGGTCCTCATCCTGATTCCGGTCCTGATCCTGGTCGCTGGGTAGGATCGCGGTGTCACCGGTGGGGGGATGCGGTCGCGGTCCCTCGGGGGATGGAATCCCCCCTTGGCGCTGAAGGGGATGCTGCTGGACGAGGGGGGCTGGAAAAGGAGGCAGTGGGTTGGTTTGTTTTGCACGTCCCTGCTCCCGCGGCATTCCGCCGGCACTCACTGTAAGGGTTCGCATCCATCCAGCGGCTTTAAAGGTGGTAACTTCGTGTCCTCCAGGGATGTGCACTTCCATGGATTTTCACCTCATTAAGCAACCGTGGAGGTGGCAGCCACAAGAAACGGCAGGAATCTTTCCCCCTTTCTTCATATAAACTGTTCCTCACTCATCCAGAGGCTAGTTTGAACTTTATTTTAAGTGTTATTGCGGTCTAACGTTAAGTACATGAAGAGGTTTGCCTTCACGGGTGGCTGGTCTGCAGTCAGTTGTGTTTTAAATATAATTACTGTTTTACATGAGTTGAACATGCATGGCCAGCTCCACACCTGGCACAAAATTATTCTGGTAACAGCTTCTGGGGTATTTTTGGGTTTTCTTTTGCTGCAAGAAAAGTTCTTTTGAGGGGAAAACGGAAGTGAACTGACATGTAATTCTTTGTCCACGCGTTTCCTTCACAGCTCTGGTGAATTCTGACCATTTCCCCGCCTCTCAGGCTGTGTGAAGATGTGGATATTTGTGAAATAAATGACTGTTTTGACAAAGCAATGGCCTCTCAAGAATTTACTGTAAGTGATTTTTAACACAGCGTGCTGTTATTATTAGGAATAAATTAAAAGACTGCAGCCGCTGTATTATTCAAATATCTCCTTATTTTTCCAACATTTTGCACGTTTAAAACAGGTATTATACACTCACCAAAAGACAAAAAAAGCGAAAACGTGGCAAGATGGAGTTCTGAGGATTAGAACTGGCAGGAATCAGGTGAAAACTCAGATTTAATACTCTTGGATTTAATCCCATCTGGTACTGCTGGACTGCCAGTGCCAGTCTAGTGGCTCTGTGAAATAACTGGTTATTTAAAATCCCGTTTTTTCATTGCAGGCCACCTTGTTTGATGACAAAGGACAATGCCTGGAGAGCATTTTTATGAAATCTCAGGTATAGTTTGCTTGGAGTTGTTATTTGAATGCCTGATTGTGCTTCGTGTTTCAGGCAGAGCTTCAGACACTGGGTTGGTAACTAAAATGGCCATTTTTCTTGTTGTGGATATAAAGCTCTGCCACAGTGGAAATAATGAAAAGGGAAAACAGCTTCTTCTTTTTGACGAGTCTTATTGTTTGTCCAGAAGGTTTTATGGAATTTTATTCCTTTGGGGTAAAAGCAGTGTTATTGCAGGGATATATTAAATAAGCATAACCTGAAGATAAGTGCTGATGCTTTCGAGTCTATGTACATATATTTCTTTCTTTATATGGCATCTGTGATATACTGGGTCTAAACATCTGAATTTTTTACATCTAAGCACTTAAAAGACTATTTATTTAAAATAAATCTGTGTGTTGTTCTCCCTTACATGGCACTGTTATGTGCACCCTGCTGCTCCCTCCTTTCTAGGTGGCTGCTGGAGATAATTTAGAAAGCGAACGATATTTGATCGCGGTCGAAGCAGCCAAAGCGAGTGAAAAACCTTTGGAAGATCAGCCAAGGAGAGCGGAAGAAACTCCAGCAGTGGATAGAAATGGTGTCAGACCCGGTCTTCTGCCTCCAAGACACCTCCCTGTTGGCCTGAAGAGGAAGTTTACGGTGTGGTTTTGTTTCCAATTTTTATGTCCCTTGTTCAACGTTTGATCACAAAATGTGGATTGATTTCAAATTTCTCTCCCAGGGGTTCCAAGGGCCACGCCAAGTTGCAAAGAAAATACCAGCCGTGGAAGAGGAAGAAAAACCAACACTGTTGCCTTTATCTAAGCAGTGCCAGGGGACTTTTCCGTCCCAGTTTTATGTCACCTCTCCGTTATTTTCCACGATTCGCAAGGAGGATGCGGACACGAATCTCTCCGCAGGCTTCCAGGAAGATGGATGTAGGGATAACGACAGAGACCACGGGTCTGTCTCCTCGCTGCTTTCAGCTCCATTTCTTGACAGATGTGAGGGGACAGAGAAGCAAAGCTCTGCTCAGTTCCTGGTGAAGCCAGAATCTCCTCTCCTTACTGGGCAAACTGGCCCCGGGGCAGTGTCCCACAACATCAGGAGCACGGCACAGATCATTGCTCTTCTGAAGTCCAAACCGGCACAAGGACAGGGAGAACAAACAGCTGCACTTACAGAAAGTCTCTCCAGGTTTCAGGCATCAAAAAATGCAGATTTACGTGACCAAAAAAGCACGGCCCTGCCTGCTTTTCCGGGTGATCCTGCCAAAGGAATCGTTCCAAACACTCAGCACCTGCCTTTTGGGAAGGGAACTGGAAATGATAAGAAGGACTGGAATGCTGAAATGCCTCTGAATTCATCTGAACAGCCTTATGGTGAAGAAGCCACGGGACAGAGACACGACAAAAAGGTAAATAATTTAAGTCAAGATTTGCAGGATCCCTGCAACACAAATGGTTGCTTCCTACCTGAGTCCACCATAAGTGGAATGAGTGACAGCCAGTTTGTCCCATCCTCAGGTGACATTTCACCTTCAGCAAGTCCAGTCACCTTTGAAAACAATTCTTTTGGATACAGAGAGCAGTCAGGGACTAAGGATCTTAGGGAGAATTCATCTGTGAAGATGCAGAGTGAGCTTCAGCCAAGACAAAATTCAGAGGGAGTGCCCAGTGACCTGGAGCTCTCCGAGGATCTAACACTGACTGAAGCTGGAATTGTAAAGGAGGAGTTAAGTTTGCATGGCAAAGGGTGTAGTCCAGATGAAGAACTGATGGAGGTTAACTTTAATCTACTGGAGTCTTTTGATTTTAATGACACAGACAGTGAAGAAGTGTGTGAAAGAGATGTGAAGAAGCCCACTGAGGGAGACACGCTTTCAGAGAGCCCAGGTTGCTCTGAGGGAGGGGATGTAGCTCCAAATGCTGTGTTGAGACCTCATTCCCGCTGTGAAGGAGTGACACACAGCAAAAATGAAGCCACATGTTCAACATTTGACAGAGAGAATGAGGGAAGTGACTGCACTGGGGGTGTTTTGTCTGAGCTTTGTGAAGCCAATGTCAGAGACACCAGGAGGGTTGCAGAAGACCCTGCAAGCCAGAGCAGAACTGAAGTGGAACTTTTGGGTGGTGGACACAACATAAAAGAGGTGAATGCAAGTCAATTAAGTCTTGAAGCCCCAAGCAATAAAGAGGATCACGCTGGCTGTGCAGCACTCACCATTAATGGCACGCCACGGATGAGAAACCAGCCCTCTGATCCTGTGCCTGGGGACACAGATGTTAAGGAATGTCACCCTGAAACCAGCCTGTTTGAGGCAACTGGAAGTGTTTCAGGTATTTCTCCCAGCAGAATCCCTTCTGCCACGGACGAAGAAGGTGTCACACAGCTTGGCTGCAGGGAATCCCCAGAGGCTGGCTCAGAACACTTCTGGGGGAGTAGGAGTGATGGCATTAAACCAGGCAGTCCTTTGCTGGCTTTGTCACCAAAATCAGCTCTTGGCAGTGGCTCATTCCAATATATTGCAGGAGACCAGCAGCAGGTATTTGGCACGTCACATAAGGAAGATGCTCTCCTTTCCACAAGTTCTGTGCATCCTGTAGGAACAGGCCACTCATCTCCAGAGGAAACAGAGTTTGAAAACTCAGAGAGCATAAACACCCCTCCTGCAGCCTGCAGAGGTGAAAGAGGAGTGGCTGAAAACTCCTCAGGTCTCCCTGCTCTGGTGAATGATATTGCTCTGCTGAGGGCTCTGACTCAACACAGCACAGCTTTAGAAAGCTTGCAAAAGATGGAGGAAAATAACAGCGTGTTCTGTGAGACAGAGACTTCCCAGGAGACATTTGAACCCCTTGGGAAAGATGAAGGTTAGGTCAGCTTCTGTTTTAAAGTGAATTCTGCGTGTCTGTATCTGTTTGACCTCTGTACTCTTGTCTCTCTTGGACAATTCATGTTCAGAAATCTTCTTTTTTGAGTGATGTGTTTTATAGGTTCCCTCATGCAGTTTTTAGTGTCTAAAGCAACATTGTGAGCTCTGTGTCTTTAGTTCAGTTAAATCCTAACTGCAATTCATTGCATGGGTTGGGTTTGTAAGCCCAGTGAATACTCAGATGTTTTCACATTAAAAACCCCAACTTTTATCTGTAACTCATTATGCTTTTCCATCTCTTGTAGCTATAAAAGAGTTTACAGAAATGCCTTACTCAGAAAGTTTACAGGCACCTTCCTGTTCATACTTTGATTCTTCTGGCCTTATGGTAACCCACTTTTGACTCCATATATTTATCTGTACAAGATAAATTCATTTTCTACCGGGAATAAAATTCTTGGTATTGATTATGAAGCTGGTAATAAACAGAGGAAGTCCTCTGGCAGACCCTCTTGCCAATAAATATTCAGGAGGCCTCTTGTATGACAAGAAACTTAATGCAAATGGTAATATTTAGTTATGTTCAATATCACATTAATATGTCTGGTACTTCTCCTTCCCTACCAGTCAATTCCTAGGAATTTTAGCACTTGGGTTGAAATATATTGGGAAATCTGTTTGTGTTTGATACTTCACACAGTAATAGCCTTTTTCTTTCAGTCCATCCAAAGCTTAAAGATTTTAGGCAAGCATAAGTCCTTTATCCTGTCCTGCATTGCCCTGGCTTCCAAATAAAAAGGCTGTCATTAAAATGCTTCTTTTGTATAAACACAAGAGATTCCTTAGCTTGTATTTTCACTTGAAATGGTTATTAAATTGTTAGGCTGATGAGGTTTTGGTACTTTTTCTGTGCAGCCCAGCTCTGTGGACAGTTTATTACAGAAGACAGAGCCATATATTCAACCAGTAGCAGCAGCCCAAAGAGACCCTGGGACATGTGACTGGCAACCAAAGGTACAATTCCTGTGGAACTGAAGCATAATGAGCAGTGTTCCTTAGATGGCAATGAAATGGTTTACTATTTGTAATCTATTACAGTGAGTCCTAATAAAATTTTAACCAGTCTCATAATGGGCTTCTCATCATTTTTTAGTATATTTGTCTGTGGGAAATTTTCCAGGGAGAGTTTTGAACTGAAATTTTGAGGAAAAAAAACAGATTTTTTTTTTTTTGTTTCTCTTCTAGTTTCCAACAGATTATTTTTGTTGCATGTATTGAAGAGTACCTTTAGTGACTGTAGATAGTTCCAGAGCGATATTTATTTCCAGTTAGTGATGATTCCAATGTATTGTGTAGCCTGTTGCATTCCAAGGGCACCAAGTAAAGGGATCAGCAGCTAGTGAGATCATGGTGAGAGTTCCCTGCTCCCAGCTGGGATGGCAGCAGTACCCACATAGCGTGGACTTTGCAGCTGAGACATTTTTGTCACCCCTGTTTTCAAGCAATTCTGACTTCAGACAGGTAAAACATTAACTTGTTTTTTTTCTTCTCTGATCAGTTCCACTCTGAAAAACAGAAGAGAAGCAGTTGAATTTCTAGCAAGTTTTTGCTCATGCTTTTTTTTTTTTTTTTTTTTTTTGTAAAGTCTCCAGGTTCCAGAAGTCTTCATGGGGATGATATGGATGTTATCAGAGAAGGGAATTTTCAAATGGAGTCTGATGTGACTGAAGAGGCAAGAATAAATCAGTCTCGTAAGTGGAAGTAAAAGTTAAAAGGCAGCAACTGGCCTCAAAATTCCTGCATGACTTCTGTCCTTCACTGTGTTTTTCCTAGCACTGGCATTCCATGTGTATCCTGAAGTGCCAGCATGGACAGTGTCAGGCTCACCTTCACATTCTGCTCTGAGACAAGCACAGTGGACTTCCTGGGAACCTGGCAAGGTGTGCACTGACTGTCTTTCCTAGATATTTTCGGCTTTATTTCCTGTGCGTTCGCGGCAGTTTCTTATTTTTGAAGCTGTTTTATCTCGACTGTGAAACACACTTCAGTTGTTTAGAATGATGAGAGAGAGAACAGTGATAAAAGAGCTATAATCAAGGGGTTTTTTTCCAGTCATTCATTTAACATATTAATTCTTCACCTGTAGATTTCATCAGAGGTGACTTCCTCATTTGATCCGGATTCTACAATTTCTCCACCTTCAGGAAATGAGGAAACTACTGGAGACATCCAGGAGCCCCTGATACAAGGGATCTTACCAAGTGAACCAGACCTCCCAGATTTTGTTTTCAGTAAGACACTGCAGTTTATAATTGCACTCTTACAGTATTTTAGCTGGAAAATCTCTGAGGATTTTTGAAGCACAGCGAGTTGTGCTATGGCAGACAATTACTCTGCCAATTCTATTCTCCTGAAAGAGACCTCGGTGGAGTGATTTAGTTTTATAAAGAAAAATCAGCTTCTAAATTGGGGGAAATAAAGGCTGTAAGCTAAGCTTCTAAGTCATATTTATGGTTTTATTTAACTGCTTTTAGTTTTCTTCCATATTCAGCTGTTCTCTGACCCACTTCCAGCTGACACCTATCAATGACCGTCGCTGTTGATAATGAATTTAGTCCAAAGGATGCTTTTTGGTACTAAAACCTTCCTTATCTACGTTGTTTAGTATTAATTCACAGTTTTGGGGGTGATCTTTCTGGAAAAAGGAGCAAGTGTTAAGCTGGGTGTTTTCCAGTTGGCATCTGCCAGTGACCTACCAAAACTATCAGATTAATGGCCTCCAAAACACAACCACGTTTAAATAATTGTCTTTTATACAAGTAGAGTGGCTATAGAATGTTTTCTGAATATGGGGATGTAAAAGAATTAAAATTTAATTAAAAGAATCACACCAAAAAATCAATCATGGTGTATGGAAATTTTAGTGTGGTACTGCCCAGGCACGATCCAGGGAGCTTCCCAGTTAAAAGACAGGATGTGAAAGGAAGAACTTAAAATTCTTTTCTGCACATCTGAAGTGCCGTCCCTAAGTGCTACAAGTTGTATTTGTAAGATGTCTTTGCCCTACAGCAGGGGAGAAATCCAGCTATCCAGAGGAATGCAGCCTCCCGAGATCCAAAGGCACCGTTAAAACCCGGACTCCGTTTGTCACCCTTCCTGCCACCCAGGAGATTCCTGCCGTGGTTTATCCCACTGACAGCGAGGAGCTCCAGCAATCCTTGGGCTCTCCAGGAGGCAATTCATGCAGCGAGCCAATGGAATTTCCTAGGAGCGCTCCCGGCTCCCAGGACAGGAATTATGAGACCTCTGTGTTTGGGGAGTACGCGGAAGACGGACAAAGGGAATCTGTCCAACCCCTGCTCCCTGACGTGACTTCCCGACACAGACAAAGCAAGTGGCTGAAGTATCAAAACAGTGCTCAGAGTGACTTGATCCCTGACAGGGAAGAGACTGAGGACATCTGTGCCCAGAGCATCCTTGGAATGCTGCGGGGTGACACGGGGGAGAGCAGAGCTGGGAATCAAAGCGCTCCCGGTGCTGCCCCTCTGCTGACATCCAAGAGCTCCCCTGGGGAATGCTGTGCCAGCAGCAACCCCCCCCCGGATTGGATTTCCGAAGGGAAGTTACTTTCCCTGCACTTAAGTGGGACACCTTTGGCTGCGGCAACACAAAAGGTGTTGAGTCACCTGAGCTGCCACGCCGGAACAGGAGAGGGCCAGGTGTGTAACTCTTCAAGCAAATACAGGTCTAAGTGGCAGAAACACATTTTTCCAGCCAAAGGAACTGCATTTCTTTGATTTCCTGCAAGATATTATCAGTGCAACGGGGTGAAATGTTTCTACCTCTGTAGCAAAACAAAAGAGTCTCAGCTGCAGAACAGCAGCTGCTCGACTTTTACCTTTACAATGACCTTTGTAAAGGTAATTCCTGGGCACCCACAGTGCCAGATTTAGGTTTGTAATCGGAATGTTGATGGCAGGAAGATGAAATAAAAGCTGTTGGGCTGTTTGGTCACCTGTAATGGGTAAGAATGTGTTTTCAAGAAGGGTTTTTCTAAATTTGAAAGTCAACATTGTTTCGAAGAACTTGCTTCAAGGTGTAGTCGCTGATTTTAAAATACTACACATTTTTTCAGTTTTAACTGTGGAAAAGTAAGTTAATGGCATTGAATAAGCACTGATACCACATATACATATATATGTATGTGTGTGTGTATATATATTTAGAGAGAGAGAGAGAGAGAGAGATGTGGTTCTGCCTTCCCTAGCCTTGTTCTGCCTTTGCTATATTTTCATCTGATTAATGGGGGTTGTGTGCTCCTTCCCCTAGCACTGAAAAACATAATTTTCAGTGACATAACTTACATAATTTACAGCCTTTGGAAGTATTACTATAAATGCAGTGATCCTAAATTAGGCAGCCCAAGCTTTAGGGATAAGTTATTTTTCTCCTTCAGGGTCTTGCAAGTTTTAATGGTTTCCTTTTCTGGGTCTTTTTAGGACGTAACAATTTCTGAGTTGTCTTTTCCTAACGTGGACAAAGTGAAACATGCTCACCTCCCTAAAAGAAAGATCTCCATCCCAGCTGTGTTTCGGTCTCATCTCCACTACAAGCAGATTTTTAAAGCTGCTCTGACAGGTAAGTCTGACACCGTGTTGTGTACAAGGCTGTCGTTCTTAAACAGGGTATTCCTGAAGCTTCACCAAGCAGGATAAGAGGGACAGAAATCCTCAACATCACCCATTAGAACTGGCTGCATTTGATTTTTTTTATATGTACTGAAATATATTCAATCTATGCCCAAAATTGCAAAGACAAACCAAAAGAGCAGCACACTTCTGTTCAGCTATGTAACCTTGTGCCTGTTTTCCAGTATTTAGATTCCGAAGCTTTTTTTTTTCCCCTGCAATACATGGATTTTGCAGGTCATGTGGTTTCTCGTAGGACTCAGATTAAATATTTTGATTTAGGATGGAAATCTTCAAATGAAAATATATTTGCTTGAGCGTTGTGTGCCTGCGTAAGCGTTTTTAAGGCTCTGCTAATAATCCCTTTATTTTCTGCTTTCTCTCTCAAGAGCAACTGAACATAATGCTGTTTGAGCTGTCCCAAAGATTGCACAACGCTCTCTCCAAAGTGGACATATCATTTTACACATCAGTGAAAGATGGGCAAAGCCAGGGAAGCTGTGCTCCACTCTGCAACCACATGCACCCTGCTAAGCTGGTTATGGTTAAAAAAGAAGGTCATAACAAGGTGCTGTTTATTCCCTGTATTTTTACAGTTTTGGGGTGAAAGTGCTGGTCCTTTTTTTTCCTTTTTTTTCTCGCTTGTTTTAGTGCTCATGCTCTGTTTTTTTCCCCCCCCTCTCCTTTCCAGGGTCGTTTGTTCTATGCCTGTGACGCCCCGAAAGCTGAGCAGTGCTCGTTTTTCAAGTGGATAGAAGACGTGAACCCCACACAGGCAAAATCCAGACCCAGTGCGGTGCTCCACGACATCAAAAGCATTGGGACATACCTCAGAAGCCAAAAGATTGCCCTCTATGAGGAATGCCAGCTTTTGGTGAGGTATTCCTGAAACCCTCTTTTCTCCAGTGCCGTGTGAATTCGGGGTTTATAAATATTGCAGCAGCTCAGGATTCCAGCAGCATTTAAGAGACATTTTCACTCTGTTTAAAGAGGCTACAGTTCTGTAAAGACATGTAAGAGCCAAATCAGAGAAGGAATAATATTGATAGCAATGGCATTTCTTTTTAGCCCTGCTTACCAGCCACCTGATTAATGAAATCCCTTACAGTTGCTGCATTTGAATTCTTGTTCATTTAATCTTTACTGAGAGATTTTGATTTTTTTCTCTGCAAGACTGTAATTTTAACAGCAGAAGTTGTATCAAGGGCTATTCTGTGCTGCTTAACTGTAGAGCAAACAATGTCGTTATGGCTGAACGTGAGAGAATTTTGCAAGAGGAATGTATTTAAAACTTGTTAGTGCAAGATGATGAACAAGCACCACAATCTGTATGATTTGGTCCAGTCTGTGGAGCTTTCTTATTTTTGGTGCTGAATCCAACATGTGCCAATAAGTTTACACATGCTTTTCCTTAAAATTACAATTTCGCAGGAAAGCCTTTGAAATTCAAACCCAGAGGTACAGTAAGTTCAAGAAATTTATGAATACACCTGCCAGCTTAGATGGTGATTCCAAACCCAAATTATACCTCAAATTAAGCAAAAAGGAGCATTCTTCTCTCTACAGCAAAGGTAAGCACATCCCAAGCATCTGATTTCAGAGGTGGCAGTAGGAGCAGCTTATGAGAACTCTGTATTTTTTTTGGCAGATGATATTTGGGTGGTTTCAAAGACTCTGAACTTTGATCCCATTGATACTTTCATTGCAAGCAGTGCTTTCTTTGGACCGTCCTCCAACAGTGAAATAGAACTGCTCCCATTGAAAGGCTACAGTCCCTCAAACTGGAGATCAAACAGTGAGTTCTACACCAAATAATTCAGAATTGTGGGGAACAACTACGAAGAAATCCAGCCAGCAACGAAGGAAGAGATTAGAATTTCCCAAATCTCAGACATGGTTTAATTCACACTATTTTTTTCACTTGTATCTCTGAATATGTAATTTGAATACAGCATTTAATGCAATTAAACCTGCAGAGTAGCTGGTAAATTCTAAGTGAGGGAGGAAGAAATGAGGATAATATAAATAATGTAGAAAATAATACAATACAGAATGCAAGTTGCCTGTTATAGTGTAAATAACAGGGATATGTTGGTACTGTCCCTGAGAAAGAAAATACAATCCCAAACAACTCACTACAGAAAATATATATTTATGTAAAAAGCCATGTATTAAATCTGTGATTTTGCAAAAGTTCCTTGGTTTTGCTGTTGAACTGAGCCAAAGTTTGGGGGTTGTTTTGGTTTGGTTTGTAAATGAAAGAGATGAAGTTGGCTAATTACCCTTTTGGTACTTTATAATGATGTGAAATCTTGGCTCACTTAATTTCTTCCTACTTTTATTTTTCTGTGGCCTTTTTCAGTGTGTGTTCACGCCCTCCTGGTTTGTAATGCCAGTGGGGAGCTGGCATCCTTAAGGAATATGGAGGAGCACTTCAATCCCTCCACATTACCACTAATCCCACACCTACTAAACATGTAAGTTCCTGTTCAGTGATACTGTGGGCAGGTCATAAAACCTCAGCAGTTCAGTGTTGGGTCACTGAGAATATCAGAACCAAGAGACACAAATTATGTTGTATCACAACTTTTGACCATTTTTTGCCCTCAGGAATCGTCAGTCTGAAAATGCTCCTAGAAGAGTCAACAAAAGAAAATTTATTCCTCCTGCCATGAGCCTGAAAAGCTCCATGAGGGCTGGCCCTGTCAGCTCTGAGGTAGCCATGGGACTGGCTAAAGAGATGATCCAAAGGTTCTCCCTGAACCCGGACCAGGCGACGTCGCTGATCCACATCGCTCGGATGATGACCTCGTGTGGGAATATCAGCCCAGAGGAGGAACATCAGAGCTTCCCCATCACAATCATACGTGGTATGCAGCACATGTCTGATTAATATGCAATGCCAGGGTTAGGGAAATATCCCAGAGATGAAACGGTAGATTTGTTTCCTTCATCATATATTTACAATTTCAGGCAGACTTAAAGGCAAATTCAGCGTTGACTTATTTGAAACGTAGCCCAAAAGATGAGCTTGAATAAACTGCCTGTGTATGGAGTATCCTCTTATAATGCTGCTGTCCCCTCACCTACTTCAGGCACTTCCTGAAAATTAATTTCTGGATGAGGCCCCTCTGATAATGACCGTGACATTAGACATCTCTTCTGTCAGCACAGAGCTCCTCATCCTTGAATTTGCATTCTGCCTTTTGGAGGATTTCACAGAAGTGTTGAGTTTTTCCCTAGAAAGATCTGTACACAAAATCAGAGTGCTTCTTTCTTTTCAAATTAAACCCACTTCTTGTCACGTATCAGCTTTGCGTAATTGTAATTTTTTTTCTATTACACACTATTCCTTGCTGGTTTATATTTCCTTCTATTTCACTTGTAACTTTGGCTTTTTTCTTCCAAAATGCCAGGTGTTTTTGGAGCTGGCAAGAGCTACCTGCTGTCTGTGGTGATCTTGTTCCTCGTACAGCTCTTCGAAAGCAGCGAAGCCACGGAGGGTCCAAGGCCAACTCCGTGGAAACTTCTCATTGCTTCTTCCACCAACGTTGCCGTGGACAGGATACTGCTGGGGTGGGTCACTGAGGCTTTTACAGCCTCTTCTTCCAGAAATAACAATGCACTTACATTGGTAAAGGTCAGTGTGTTGGTATTAAAAGACTGTGGCCTGAGTTACTTCAGCTGGTTAATCGCAGGAGTTTGTGTTCTTCGGTGTTCTGATGTGCCTTTTAAAACCACTTTTAAAGCTTTCAAAGTTTCTTCTTCCATTTCTGTAACATCTGCCTTCTCTTTTTCTCTGAAGCCTGCTCGATCTTGGATTTGAGGATTTTATCAGAGTGGGAAGTATTAGGAAGATCACCAAAGCAATTCTTCCCCACAGGTAAGAAACTTTTTATGGGATCTGAAGCAATTTGGGACAAGTTAATATGTTGTTTTAAAGCACTGTTATGTATAAAGTATGATTATTTTTGTACATTTTCCCAAGCACTGTTATTTTCAGTCACTGCAATGCACGTTACAAAATCTTTTTTGAAGTTTACATGCAGGCTCAGGAAATGAAAATGAGCAGCTGAAAGAGCTGCTTGCTCTCATGAAAGAAGATTTGACTCCAGCTGAAAAAATATATGTCAGGAAGAGCATTGAGCAGCACAAACTGGGGACCAATAAAACCATCCTGCAACAGGTACAGTCAAAGAGATGGGATAAGAAAGTGGGGATTCATCGTGTCCTATCCACAAAACCCACTGTATGGAAACTGGGAATTCCCTCTCATACCTGCCAGGCTCCTAATTTTGAAAAATAAAGTGAGTGTTAGGTTTGAATCCACGGGTACAGCTTAGTGTCTTACCCGTGTAAGACTTCTCTGAATTGAACTTGCAGTTCTTTTTTAATGATGTAAGACAGAAACCCTTTTTGAACTCGACTGCCATCTGATTTAATACTGCCAACTTAGTTTTCAAGGTGGGCAGAGAAAAATTTCTCACTACATCTCGTCTGCACTGTCACCTTGAAACTAAAATTTATATAGTCATAAAGGTGAAAAGATAAAGACTGAGCTAAATCTATCCTGGAGCTGTGTATCAACCGCCAAGGACACTTCAAATATATTTTAAGCAACTTTTCATCAAAGTATTACCTTTAAAGATTACTACTCCCTGTAGGAAAATATCCTTAGTTTCTGGTCTTTCCAGTCATTTCTCCTCAGTCCTAGACTCAGAAAGTCACAGCTTGTTGTAAAGCAATTGTAACAAAGCAGATCTGAGCAGTTTGTTGAGAACCAGTGACGTGAGATAGCCCGTAGCAATTCTACTGCTATAGTTGCGTACTGCACGGAGATGAACTATTAAATGATCCTAACTTTTTGTCTCCCCATTTTCCCCCCACTTCTAAAAGGTAAAAGTGGTTGGAGTGACCTGTGCTGCCTGCCCCTTCCCCTGCCTGAACGCTCTCAGGTTTCCCGTGGTGATGCTGGATGAGTGCAGTCAGATGACCGAACCTGCTTCTCTCCTTCCCATCGCCAGGTACAGCCTTCCTTTGGTGCTCCAGCAGGGAAATAACTTGCTTAGCAGTGGCACAACCCCCTGCAAGTGCCAAACCCCACATCTTTTTAAGCACATGAACCCCGAGGTCTCGCCTTAGAGGGCAAGAAGAGTAATTTAAAATGGAGACCTGGCCTTAGGTGTTATTAAACCGTGGGAAGATGGAGCAGGGAGGCGGATGGAAAGCAGTGGGATGTATAAACACAGCACACACACTTTGGTTATGAGCAGTTCAGCCTCAGTTTTAGACCTTTTTTTCATGGGTTTTTCACATTCCCATTCAGGTTTCAGTGTGAAAAGCTCGTCCTTGTTGGAGACCCCAAGCAATTACCACCAACTATTCAAGGGTCTGAGAGTGTCCATGAGCAGGGATTGGAGCAGACCCTCTTTGACCGGCTCTGCTTAATGGTAGGTCCTGCCAACCACACCTCTGGAAAAGGTGGAGGGTGGAAACATAGGTCCTCTGAAGTCACCAGGAAAACTCTGGTTTAGATGTCAGAGGATCAGAGTTTCAGCCTTGCAAATTGAAAGGTTTGGGTTGAAGGGACCTTGAAGGTCACCTAATTCAACTCCCTGACGTGGGCAGGGACACACCTACCACCACCCACTACCCAACCCGGCCTTGAACACTTCCTAGTCACCCTTTATCCTCATTTTTTTTTAGGGACATCAAGCAATACTCCTCCGGACACAGTACCGCTGTCACCCTGCCCTCAGTGCCATCGCCAACGAGCTGTTCTACGGAGGGAACCTCAGGGATGGCATTTCCGAGGAGGACAGAACTCCTTTACTGGACTGGCTTCCAACGCTGTGCTTTTACAGTGTGAATGGCACGGAGCAGGTAAGTTCTTGGAACATTTCTTACACGTATTTCTTACATAAATAAAGTCAATACCGTAGTTTTTCCTCCATTCCTTTTTGCATTCTGCTTTGTGAGAGCTCATTTGGTAATCTTCTTCCCTCTTTTCCAGATGGAAAGAGACAACAGCTTTTCCAACACGGCAGAGGCTCACTTTGCAGTCAAGCTCATCCAGTCTCTGATTGCCAGTGGAATAGAAGGAGCTGCTATTGGTGTGATTACTCTTTATAAATCACAGATGTATAAGGTGTAGTGGATCATCAATAAAGCACTTCCTTAAATGTATTTTTTGTTTTAAACACAGGTTTCATTTCAACTAAGAAGAGTCAACTAGAAGTGAGAAACGGGTAGTTTGCCACAATTGCTCTTTTGCATTAAAAAAATACCCATTTTTTGCCTCTAAAATTAATAAAGCTATTTTAATTCAAAGAATGATTAAAAAATACATATTTTCAATTTTCCCTCCACATTGCACTGTCTAGTTTCCTAGCTCACATCTTGTGTGGGCTCAGATTTGTTGGGTGTTTTGTCAAGGCAAGTGGTTGACTCTGAGTAGCCAAACCTTCCCTGTTTCTTTTGCCCACAGATTCAGAGTTTGCTCAGTGGGGTTCACTCCGAAGCTTTTGAAGTGAAACCTGTCCAGGTGTCCACTGTAGATGCTTTCCAAGGTGCTGAGAAGGAAGTCATTGTCTTGTCCTGTGTCAGGACCAGACAGTTTGGGTTCATAGACTCGGAGAAGAGGATGAACGTCGCACTAACGAGGGCAAAGAGGCACTTGCTGATTGTGGGAAACCTGGCCTGTTTAAGCAGGAACAAGCTGTGGGGAAGAGTAATTCACCACTGCAAAGGTAATATTTTCTTTTCCGGGGTTTCTGAAACTGTGCAGCTCAGCTTCTTTAATTAAACTTTATAGTGTGTGTATATATACTACATAATAATATATAAAGTATATGGTATGCACAGCTATAAACCAGTACATTTATTGCATATAAAATGTAATTTTAAATATTTATTGCATATAAAACCTAATATATCACAGGAAAATGCACGTTGCACATTTGCAGCTTTACCTGCAAGCTGTTTTTATACTCAAAGAGTACGTTTTTAATCCAGTAAGGGGACTTTACCTACTTGGCTGACATCAAAGAAAGCATCTTGGTAGTGGCCGAGCTCTGAAGAACCACTTTCCAGGCAGAGATGTCACAGCCAGTCGATAACTCTGGGGCAAATCGATGTCAGCACTGCCGGGGGCTGGTTCCATGATGGATGCTGTAAAGAGAGATGTAATTATCCTGTTTATTGCTGATTTTAGGGCGGGAAGATGGATTACAAAATGCAAGCCAGTGCGAGCAGCAGCTAAACGACATTCTGAAGTGCTACTTGGAGGAACGGAAGGAAGAGGAGCAGAGTAAGAAGAAGGAAAAATAAAATGTGTGCCTGTTTTATTAATATTGTTTGTCTATAAAATTGCTAATTTAATATTTATTTAATGTGGCACGTTTGTTTGTATCTCACGTACTGATGCTTCTGTTTGACCCTGTGTTTACATGACTAAAACTGAATAAAGTGACTTTATCTGCTTGAGAAGTGAAATCCTTTTATGCTCACAAAGTATCTAATAGTATTAGTGTTGTGTTGTTTAGTCTGAAGAATAACGGAATTATATTTTAGAACCATTCTGTTATCTTGCGTATTTACAGATACGTCACATCCAGGAAGGAGCTTGGTTAAAACAATCAAAAGGCCCCCTTTCCAAGCTCTGGAGTGCTGGAAAGAGACTTGCACAAGGGCATGGGTTGCCAGGAGAGGGGAGAACGGCTTCGAATGACAGAGGGAGGGTTTAGATGGGATACTGGGAAGAAATCCTTCCCTGTGAGGGTGGGGAGGCCCTGGCACAGGTTGCCCAGAGAAGCTGTGGCTGCCCCATCCCTGGCAGTGCCCAAGGCCAGGTTGGACGGGGCAGCGAGCACCCTCCTGTAGCAGCAGGTGCTGTCCGGGCTGACAGGTGCCAAACACACCGAGAATTCCCTATTTTCCCCCCGTTTTCCCGATCCCAGATAACTTTGCCCCCCTCACTTTCCCGCCGCCGCCAGGTGGTGCCACCCGCCCGCCCGGCGGAGGGAGCGGCGGCGGCCGCCGCGGTGATCCGCCCCGCTTGGAGTCAGCCCGCCACTGCGGCCGCAGAACCGCTCCTCCCTGAGGGGGAGCGGCGGGTCCTTCCGCGCGGGGCAGGGTTGAATAGCGCCTTTAAATTACTCCTGACACCTCTGTCCCAGCTCCCTAAAATCTCAATCAACAAGCCATTAGAACTCAACGGGAGTAAAACTAAATCCTCGTTTAAGTGTATTTATCCGCTCTCTTTTCTCTCTTTCAAATGCTAAATCCATTTCAGCATATGCCCCTTCTTTCTCTCGCCTTTCTCTAAAGACTGGCAGCCCGCACTACTCTTGTAAATATGAAAGATGCTAATCATATGACATATCACGTCTCAGTCGGAGCCTGGAATAAAGCCTTGAGATTTGGGATCATTGCCTCCAGACAACAGCTTCATCAGCCGGAAAGTTGGGTTTTTTTCTCCTTTCCTTCAACTCTCAATCCCTTCTTTGTCTGAGAGAAAATGCAGCCAACTCGAGCCACCCCGGCCATATGGTTCACTCTGTGTTTTCTTAGTTGAATCCTGAATTGTTTGTGACTTGCGAAGGGGGTTTTTTTGGTTTGGTTTTTTTTTTTTTTTTTGGAAGTGTGTATAAAGACATAGAAGAGGCTGCCCGGACCAGGGTGGCTCTGCAGGGTAACTCCGTGTTCTTCACGTGTTCACTTCACACACTCCTTGCGCCACCTCACCGTACAGCCAAAAAGCATAAACCCACAGACACACTTTATAGCAATAACCCATTGCAGGTGCCTGGTATTTTTCCCCTTTTCTGGGCAAAAACATCCAGGTGGTTTTCCCTTTTCTGGATGGAAATGCCTTCTTAAAACACCACTTGCTGTGTCTTTACTCACATCTCTAAGACAGAGTTATCGCTCACTAGCAAATCCCTTCTAGAAATGCCTCGACTGACAGAAGCCTCCAAGTATTTAGAGTAAGGAAAAGTGGCTTTTAAGACACGTATAAATTAGGAGCTGAATGAGTTCGGCACACCCGAGTTTGGATAGCCCCCCTGTTTGATAGCCAGCCTGCCAAATTTTCTTTCTCTCTTTCCTTACACAAACCCCCCGAAAAAAGGCCCTTTCACCAAATCATTAAATTCTACAGAGGTGGTCAAGCTAGTCCTGCTTTTCAGGCGTTCGAGAAAGAAAAGGGTCCTTGAAGTTTAGAAGATGCCCAAGGAAAACTCATTGAATGACATCAAAAGAATGAGTTTCCATAGCTGTTGAAGCACGAGAGCCGTGTAGCTGCACAAAGGCGGGTTGGGGCAGTGGGACTGTCCCACTGCTCTATCCCAGCACAATTGGGTCACTGAAATAGGGAATTAATTACCATTGGAGAGTGGGCAGCCCATTCACCACTGGCTGAGTTTTATTAAACGCCAATATAAATAACAAAACAACTCTTGTGGCTGCACTATTCCTACACGCCAAAGGAAGGATTATGTTGGGGATTAACATCTTAAAGTCTATGAGACTTTCTGACTCAAGGCTCGGAGCTGGTAATCGTATTTGTCTCCTGGTTCAGCGATTAGTGCTCTCCCTTGCGCACCTTCGCCTGGATGGCCAATGTCCCTTTTTGCAGGCACTGGGTTTTTCACACAATCGGCTGTTCTTTTCCCCACATCTATAGAAAAGAATAAGAAAACTGAAGCGTGTTCACGCGATCCTCAAGCTTCTTCTCTTCTTCATGGGAAAGGAAGGCACCGGCGGCCTTTTTTCACAAGGGGGGAGAGGCAAACCCTCTTGGGGAGGCGGGGGGGGGGGGCCCAGAACGGCAAAATCGCTTTGCAGGCCTGCACCTGCCATGCAAATCTGCCGGGAACAATCGGCCCCCAACGAGGGGCTCGTCTGCCCGGGGTGGGGGGACCCAGGGAAGGATGCTGGGGCAGCGCTTATGGGGGAACCCCTCCTCCCTTTGATCCCAAAACCCCGAAAGTGTTAGCACGGCTTGGGATCTGGGGGCCAGTCCTCGTCCTGTCCCTCTCTGCAACACTTTTCGCTGAGCTCACAGAGGGTTTGGGAAGGACCTGGATTGGGGCATAGGGGACACACGCTGCAGCATTTTCCATTTCTCCCCTCCCTAAAGTATCCCGATACTCTGCTGGATTTGGATATATTCCGTCCCCCCCATTTAAGAGCAGAACCATCTCACTCACAGGGTTTGCGGGGGCTGTCATAGGGCTGGGTAGCCTGGTGTGGGCAGCCCTGCTACCCCAAACCCTTAGGACACCTCAGGCTGGGTGAGTGTGAGGGAGGCAGAGCAGGGAGGGGTCAGGCCACCCTGTCCCTGCAGCTTTGTCCCCCCTTTCTCCGGGATGTCGCGCCCCCATTCACCTGGGGCAGGCCGGCCATTAACGCCGGCCCTCAACTTGTGAGGTCCACGTGTGGATGGGCTGTGCCCAAAGGTCTCTCAGCAACACAGACCCTAAACTTTTAGGGCTATCGGGTCACCTCAGAGTTCAATCTTCTTACAGCAAACAAAGCCTTTCTGAAGGTCTCCCCCTCTCCCCCACACGAGCTCAGCGTCCTTTATTTCTGGGCTGTGTGATAAGCTTAAATCATTGTGCTCCCATTTCTTGATCGTCGCCTACTTTGGGCTTTTGTTCCCCTAAAGTAGGATTGAGTCTGGCAAAGGGGCTGAAGTTGAACAGTTTGACCCTTGGAGGACAGTTCAGGCAGTGGGCAGCAGTGGCAGCGGCATTCCCGCTCCTGATCCCACTCCCTCTCCCCCCGCTGCCCCCTCTTCCCACCGCTCTCGGCCGAGCAGCTCGGCCCTCGCTCTGCCCGCAGACCACACAAGCGCCTCCGCAGGGTTGTGAGGACTCGGTCACCTTGTGCTGAGTCCTGAGGAGAAAACTGCTGCATCACTGGGGCTGGCATCAAGAACTGGGCTGAACCCAAGAAAGGCACCACGGTGGGTTATGCATCCCCAGCACCGCCTCTGCCTCACCTCTCCATTGCTTTCCATCGGCAGTGAAAGGACAGAAATGTCAGAAAACAGGGTGGTGACAGAGGGGCGGGCTGGCCCCGTCACAGGTGACTCCGCTTTGAGCTTTAAGCTGCTGAGAAAGAAATAAAGTTCTTTCGTGCCACTCTCCTGAGATGCCGAGGGGACCCGCGCGTCTCCTGCTTTTCACAAGGGGGCAAGGGGAGCATTAAAATGTCTCACCGAGTCACAGAGATGCTCTAATTGAGGCAGCCGCCTGGCTGCCATCGCTCCCGCAGGGAGTGACACAGGGGCCACCAACTCAGTGGGCAGCGGGAGCGAGGGACTCATTTGCGTGTGAGTTCCTGGTGTGCTCAGCGAGATGTTTGTGGCGATTTTGGCTCTCTCACCTGTTTTAGGCTTCCCTACCAGCTGCAAATAAAATCCTGTCCCAAAGCTCGACTCCCCCAAAGTGCCTCAGAGCTGGTGCTTCCACACAGGAAGACAGTGCGCTGGGGTTTTTGTTTCGTATGTCCTCACCATCGTTTCTTTGACAGGGCCACGGAGTGACAAGGGGGAAAGGCTTCACATTGACAGGAGGCAGGGTTAGATGGGATATTAGGAAGAAATTCTTCCCTGTGAGGGTGGGGAGGCCCTGGCACAGGTTGCCCAGAGAAGCTGTGGCTGCCCCGTCCCTGGAAGTGTCCAAAGCCAGGTTGGACGGGGCTTGGAGCAACCTGATCTAGTGGAAGGTGTTGGAACGAGGAGGGGGTTGGAACGAGATGATCTTTCCAGGTCCCTTCCAACCCAAACCGTTGTTATTTGACAGCACCGAGCAGCTGCATCCCGGGGGAGCCCCCTACCATCCCCATACCCCAGCAAGCCGCGTATGAACTGCGCACCTTTACCGCAGCACCGGCGCCTCCCCGAGAAGACAAAAATCTCCCCGAGGAATGAACGGGGAGGCCAAGGGGAGCTCCCCCATCCCTCGCATCCCTCGCATCCCCCGCATCCCTTTGCCCGGGCGCCGCCGGCTCCGCGCAACTCGAAAGCGGCCGCAAAGGGAGCGGGGCCCCGGGCGCGCGCGTGGCGCGCGGGGCGCGGGGATTGGCCGGCCGCGCCTCGCGCCCCCCCCCCCGCCCTCCCCCCGCTCCCCCGCGCCGTCCCCCCCCATTCATTAATAAATTAGCGGCACGCTCCAGCCGAGCGCGAGGCGCCAATGGGGCCCCGACGGGAGGGGGGGACACGGGGGGGAACGGGCGGGGGGGCGGCGGCGCGGCGGCGGCGGCGGCGCCCCCGACAAGAGTCGCGGGCGGGGCGAGGTGGAGGGGAGGGGGGGACGGGGGGACCCCGGGGGTAGGTTTGATTGTTCCCCGCGGGGTATATAAGGGGTGTTAAGGAGGGTCGTGTGCCAGACACGCAGCCCCGACGGGCCCCGGGCGCCGCTCCCGCCGCCGCCCGCCCGCCCAGACCCGCCCGCCGCCCCCGGGGCGCGTGCCAGCGACGCGGCCCCCCCCACACCGCGCCCCCCACCCCTCCCCTCTTCCCCGATCCCCCCGCGCTTCGGTCCCCCCGCGACCCCCGCCCCGCTCCGTCAAACCGGCGAACCGTCAAGCCGCCGGTGCTGCCGCCCGCCCGGCGCTTCCCCGGTGCTGCCCGGCGCGGCGCCCCGCAAGGATGCTGGTGAAGGCGGAGGTCCTGGCGCCGGCCGCCGAGGACGAGCTGCTGCTGCTGGGGCTGGGCTCGCCCGCCCCCTCGCCCTCGCTGCCGTCCAGCGCCGAGGAGGAGGAGGAGGAGGAGGAGGAAGAGGAGGAGGAGGAGCCCCGCGCCGCCCCGCCGGCGCGCCCCGTGGAGGCGGCGGGCGGCCGCGGGCTGCGGCGGGCGGAGGGGAAGCGGCGGCCGGGGCGGTCCCGGGGCGCCCCGCGGGCGGCGCGCACGGCGGAGACGGCGCAGCGCATCAAGCGGAGCCGGCGGCTCAAGGCCAACAACCGGGAGCGCAACCGGATGCACAACCTGAACGCGGCGCTGGACGCCCTGCGCGACGTGCTGCCCACCTTCCCCGAGGACGCCAAGCTCACCAAGATCGAGACGCTGCGCTTCGCCCACAACTACATCTGGGCGCTCACCGAGACCCTGCGGCTGGCCGGGGCGGCGCGGCTCGGCCCCGACGGGGCGGCGGGCGCGGGGGTCCCCGCCGAGGGCAGCCCGTCGCCCGCCTCCTCCTGGAGCGGCGGCGCCGCCAGCCCCGCGCCCTCCGCCTCCCCGTACGCCTGCACTTTATCGCCCGCCAGCCCCGCCGGCTCCGCCTCGGACCCCGAGCACTGGCCGGGCCGCTTCGCCCCGGCGCCGCCGCTGCCCCGCCGCTGCCTCTAGCCCGCCCCGGCGCTCCCGGGGCTCCCCCCGGGGCGGTGGCGGCATCTGCCCCATTCCCAGGGCAGGGCGGGCTGTGGGAACGGCACCTGCCAAACCAAACTTTCCGTCTCTCTCTCTCTCTTTCTCTCTCTCTCTCTCTCTCTGTCTCTCCGATGTGCACTTTGTCCAGTTTTCCCAGATCTGTCACCGCGGGGCTTTTGTGTGTCCCTGTCCCCCCCCCTTTCCCCGCTCCCCCCTTTGCCATCTGTCCCTTATGATTTATAGGCGGGAGGGGGGGGTTGGAAAGCGAGAATAAAAAAAAAAAAAGTAAATTGTTTTGTTAGGGGTCCAGGTTAGAAGTCATTGTATAATTTGTAGGCTTTGTGAGGGCTGAATGCAAGCGTGGAAATTTAGGCTGAACTCTCTATCAAAAGGGAAAAAAAATCGGGAGGGGGGGAATGGGGAAGGATCTCCTCATACATTATTTATTTCGACCTTTAGGGGACGAGGAACTCCCCCCTTCTTTCAGGAGATTAAAAATAAATCAACAGACTGAAAACCTCAACAGACACGGAACATTACAGCGATCAGCCACACACGTGTTCACATTTATTTATTATAAAGACAGATTTCATGGAAAATATGTATTTTTTTGTATAATTTACAGAGTTTATTCTAGTATGTATTTACAGCTGAAGAGCAAAGGGACCGTCCTTGTGATAAAATATAAATAAAAAGCTCTAATTTTCGTACCTTTGGGGCTGCTGCTTTTTCTGCTTTACGTGACAGCGACCGGGAATTACGGGATTGGGCCTGTCCTTGTCTCTGGTGAAACCAGGGTCCGGTGGGAGGCTGATGCCACTTACAGCAGGTCCACAGGCAACAGCTGCTTCAGGAAACTGCAAAAAAACCCATTATATATGTATATATACATATATTTTTAAATATATATATATATATTAGTTCAGTGGAAGTCTACTGATCATTTACCTTTGCCTCTTGGTACAGAAGATGCTGACAGCAAACGTGGGATGGATGGATGGATGGTTGGATGGATGGATGGATGAACAGATAAACAGTTATCACGCTTCTTCGGGCCGAAGGATTTCACCGAGAAGGCCACAGGAAATAAATGTTACTGATGAAAAAATGATTGGGCTACAAAAGAGGAAGAATTCCCTTTCTCTGCCTCTCTGAGGGACGGGTGAATCCCGAGGCACTTGCAATTCCAGGGGGTTCGGTTCAGTGTGCACAGCACAGGGCCAGGGATGTCACCGTGGAGGGGGATGCTGGAGGCCGCCCAGGCCCTTCAATCATCGGGAGCACTTTGTGACTTCTGGGTACAAACACCTGGAAATCATTAAAAACCAGCAGAGGCGCCTGAATGTATTAATTAAATAAAATGCTCAGCACGCGAATCCCGCCCGGTGCCCTCCGGACCAAAACCTGGCCCTCGGAGCGACATCCGCGAGGGGGGGGCAGAGGGGGAAGAGAAAAAAAAGCCCAAAATGTGTGAAAAGAGAATTAGTGAAATTAGGTTAGGCCAATAAACCACGCAGGGGTCCCCCAGCCCCGCAGCCTCGGGCGAGCAGCGCTATCTAGCCTGATCTATTGTTTCCCCCCCTGGCAGGGGGGTTATTGTGTGATAAATAATTCCCTAAAAAAAAAAAATAAAAGAAAAAAAAAAAGTGGGAGCATTTGCATAATCACCGCTTTGATGTGGCCAGCAAGATGAAGCTGTGTCCCCCCAAATCTGCCACGGGCCAGGAGGAACAAAACAAGAGGGAGCCTTTGACGGCGCTGGCGGTGTGTGGGGCAGCCCGTCGGGAGCGGGTTTTTCACTCTCACTCTCTTTTAACGACCCCTTTTAATGATTAAACTCCAGGAATGCCAAAAAGAGAGCCTCCCTCGCCCTCTCCGTCTTTTTTGGTCGGGTCTCATTGTCCTTCCCGGTTTCTCTCCCGCTTTTAAGAGGCGCTGGAGTAGGTGCCTTCAGCTCTTCAGAAGGCCAGGATGGATGGGATGCACTTCTCTCTCGGTGGTGGAGCCGTGCAGGAGCGGGAGGGACATCCCGGCTGGCTCAGCACTGGGATGCTCCCTCCAGCTGCCCTCGGGGAGGGACGCTGCTTCTTACCGGGTGCGTCATCCTGGAGGGATTTTCCAGGTACAGACAGGAGCATCCCCATCCTGCTGGGGCTGTGGCGATGGGAACCGCCGTGGGAAAAAGCACACGTCGCGTCGGAGGACGGAGGGGGCCTTTGGAGAGGGGTTTGGGGTGGGAGTCATGCCAGGCAAACCTCCCTGCGGAAGGCTGGGCTCAGCTGGAGATGCCCTTGGAAGAGACAGGCCCAAGGGGGGCAAGGCAGGGAGGGGGAGACAGGGCTGTGTTGGCAAAGGCTGAGCCAGAGAGGCTGGATTTGCCACCTAAGCCAGTCACCCTCATCCCAGTTTTTCATTTGAATGTGGCCAAAAGCATTTATTCCCCTCTTTCTTCCCTCTAGAGTTTATTCCTCTCTTTCCTTCTTTTTTTTTCTCGTATTTCCCTCTTTTCTCTCAGAAGACTGGTTTTTGGAGGTGATGGCCGGTCCCCAGAGCCAATTGCAGCCAACCTGGAAGCGGCCCAGGAGACGCAAGACGGAAACTCACCTCGTCGGATGACGAAACAAACCTGGGGGTGGTTTCCATGGCAGCCCCTTGCCCCCAGAACATGTGTTTATGATCCTTCTGTGTATTGTATTTTGGCATAAAAGCTCCTCCGCACTGTCAGGGCTGGAGGGGCAGCACGAAAGCCCCCGAGGGGGTTTTACAGCCCCTCCTTGGCATAAGAATAGTGCCGAGGAGCCAAAGCGGTCCCAGCCGCACCCCAAGGGCTGCCACGCTCGCTTTCATGTCAGGCATCAATCTTCCCACGTAGTGCCATCATTAAACACTGTTCCCAACACAGCCCTCAAGTGGCTGGCAGATCCTAAGCCCAGTTTTCCTAAACCCTTATTCAGGTGCCTCAGGTTGGGCTTCGCCCTTGTCCCGGATTATGTGTGGATTTGGCCCATGCAGCCCCAATTCCCACTCCCCATGGGCAAAAAAGCATCTCAGTTATCTCTTATGCAGTCAATCCTCTGGCAGAAACAAATCCCAGTGGGAATTTTGTTGCAACTTGGTGTAGGTTCTTGTCTTACTACAGGGCTAAATCTTGTGTGTTATGGCCTAAGACACTCTTTTGCTCTGACAACGTAAGGATATCTATCAGGATACTAGGATATCAGGATATTAGGATATCCTGCCTTCTGCCTACGGTGCTGCAACAGCTGTGCAGGTCCAGCAAAATGCTGGCATCCTGCTCATCCCCGTGACCTCTTGTACAGGACTCAGATCAAGGAGAAGTAGAACCCTCGCGGTGCTCAGATTTAAAATAAAACCTTTAGAAATTGCTCGGAGAGAAAAGAAATCCTCAGAGGGTCACTTTGCAGCGGCCGGGAGGGAATAGGGACGGTGCGGGGGCGGCTGTGACACGCAGCCACCCCCTTCCCCTTGCCTCCCCCTCCTCCTCCTTTTATTAAAAAGCAGAGAGCCCGGCCCAAAGCTGACGGCATATTTACCTTCATGAGTTTTAAAAAAAGTTAATTACCGCTCGGAGCAAGTTGGTCGGGCTGTCCTGAGCTGTCTTTTATTAGTAGTCGCCTTCATTAATTTCCCTCGCTGGATTTGCTGCTAATAGCCTGCCTGGTCCTGGGCAGCACAAAGCAGCATCTGTGCCATTGAGCAGAAAAGCGGGAGTCAGGCAAAGGGGGGCACTGGGGGGGGGGGTGCGACGCCGTTTGCAAATCAACCTCTATTAACGTGATGTCCTGCTCGGAGGGGACGGCAGCCCCGGTAGCCGGCACGGCAGTTTGGGCTTCGCTCGGCTGTTACCGAGGGAGGAAAGGCACCTGCTGCCTGCCCGGGGGGGGACGACCCTGCCCTCATCCTGCGCCCCTGGGTGCTGGCTGTGCCACCCAGCCACCCCCTGGATGCGGGGGGGAAGAGGGATGCTGGACCTGCCTCTGCGGGATCTGCGCTCCCCCTCGGTGCTGTGGGTGCTCCGGTCCTCCGAGCAGCATCCACCGCTTAGCAAATTATTAAGAGTAACTTGTTATCTTTGGATGAAAGATACGCTCTGCCTCAAAAACAGCTTGGCAGAGAAGTTTGGGATTAGGGAATGGGATTAAGTTCTGTTTGGAGGGGCACAGTGGGCAGGCTGGGGGGGCTGGAGGCATCACCGACTCACACGAGCTGGGGCAGCGGGAGGCTGCAGAGGCCAACAGCCCCATCTGCTCCCGCTCTGCCAAGGGACAGGGGAGATGATTTCATCCAAGTGGAAAAAAGGAGGGTGGCCTGTGTCGCTCCCAGGAGAGGGGTGAGAGCTGCACGCTGCTGCCAGTTTCCCTGCAGGGCCGGGGAGGGCACCCGGGTGCCGGTGCAGGGACTTCCCTCGGGGCAGCAGGTGACAGCAGCAGTTATCAAGTCGGTTTTTTCTTTTGCTTTGCTGCAAATATTCCCGCTCTGGTTAGCGGGAAGGAGATGCCGAGGAGGCTGGTGCTGCCGTGTCTTTCCAAGCAGAAGAGAATCGGGCAGCGCGGGCTGCGGTTCTGCGCTCGCTGGCGTGAGGCTTTGCCCTCAGCCCCCATGAATAGCTGCGTCTGGTGAAGGAGCGGCGCCTAAATCCAGCAGCTGGGCCCCAGGGGCAGCTGATGCCGGGTTTATGGCAGCAGGGACGTGCTGCCTCGCGTGCAGGGGCTGCCTCACAGCTGGAGGGGTCACCTCGCGCCCGCTCCCCGCCGGCCGTAATGGCCTGGGATGCTGAGACTCACAGGGAGGCAAGCCTGGCTCAGCCCTGTATTGTTGGGATAACTGAGGGCCTCCCTTTCCTCTGTGTCTTTTCTAAGAGAAATCCCCCAAAGTGCTCCATAGAGTCACTAGTTACTGGCAAAGGAGTGAGAAGATCATTCTACCTGAGGTTTGCGGCCTCCGGGTGTTCCCTCGGTATCAAACGTACTGAACTTTCATGCCTGAGCACACAGCCAGCCAGACTCTCTGCCTTTCACCTGGACACCTGCAGAAAGGCAAGTGGGAAAAACCTTTAGGCAAATCCCTTCCCCTGAAGGACAGGAAAGCGTGTGCCCACCTTGTTAAGAGCAGGACAGTTCTGTGCCTGACTTACTGCAGCACTTACACAGGGCGTAAACTCAAGTCCAAGAGTTTAGCTGAGAGGAGGAAATGTTCCATGTTTCCTCAAACTTGATGCCCCTACAGTTAATATTTCACTGTCCCAGCATGGCACAGTTCCACTCATATTGTAGAGACTGGCCCTCAGTGGTCATACCAAGCACTTAGGTTGGAATCTGGAGTGTGTTATAATTCACCGAGCCCAAAAAACACCTTGGTAGCAAGTTACTTAATACAAACCATTCAATTTCTAACTAAAATTTCTAATTAAAAAAAAAAAAAAGGTGTATTCCCTAAGTCTCAAATTAGTTCAAATTACTTTATTCTGAAACCAGAGAAAATAACAAAGCAGCAATTTTTTTTGGTCAGTAGCTCTAAGACGAAACTTCCAGCCAAAATATTAAATTCTCCATCATCAGAGTCAACTATTTATTTCCCCCAGTGTTCCCATATTTATACCAGAAATATGAAACAACAATTTAAGCTCAGTGTGTTTGGGGCCACGTGTGTGTCCAAGTTCTTCAGGCAATGTGGTTTTGGGGCACATTAA